ATCTGTGCCTGTGTTAATTGTAGCATGCTGTCCCAGTCAGCTACTTTAACCTAATTTGTGCTTTTGGGAATTGTAGCATTTGTTCCACACAGCTACTTTAACCTAACCTGTGCCTGTGATAATTGTAGCATGCTGTCCCAGACAGCTACTTTAACCAATTGTGTGATTTTGGGAATTGTAGCATGCTGTCACAAACAGCTACTTAAATCCACTCTGTGCCTGTGGGATTTGTAGCATCCTCTACCAGACAGCTACTTTAACCTAATTTGTTCCTGTGGGAATTGTTGCAAGCTGTCCCATACAGCTACTTCAGTTATGGGAGCTGCAAACTTTGAGCAATGGCTACTTGTAATGTTGCATCGTGCATTAGTTCTCTCCACCATTGAATATGCCTTGGCCCTCATGACACTCAGCACCACACACATGAACAGAGACTGGAAAAAATTGAAAACGAGGCAATGCGTATGGATGCACTATAGACACCTCCTGTAAATCCATGTGATACTTCTTGGATTTCCCCACAATGGAAAACAGAATCAAGCTATCCAGGGCTGTTGATTTCCTCAAAGTGAAGTTAGACCATCGACACCCACTTTATGAGGAATTATTCAAGCCAATAAAAAAGAGTAGACTCAAACGAGGCAAATCCTGGATGGGTCGGGCTGAGGATGCCGTCAAACATGTTTGCCACCTTACTGACATTAACTTTGGAAATGAATGGATAATTATGCCTCCCTCTCCAAACAATAATATTACAGTCCATATCACACTGATGGAAGCTGTAGAGAGCAGATTCCTGGCATTGTTGACACTTTGGTCAAAACACTTATTGACGAAAACACAGATGAAGGTGATGCTATAGTTTACACAGATGGGTAAGTAATTAGGGGCAAGCGAAGTGCATGGGTCTTTACAGTAAGCTCGAAGGGGAAAACCATCAAGGAGATGAATGGCACCTTTGCTGTTACAACTAGTAGCCTTACAATGGAAACAAGGGCTTTAGCATGGCTTGGTACTCAAAAGTTCACACACGTATGCATTCTTAGCGACTATGAATATGCATTAAAAAAAATCAAGCTGGCTTTATCAGGCAAAGAATGGATTGAAACACTAAGCACTTCCCGAATATCTGCCCTAACCTTCATCTTTGTGCCAGGTCTTGCCGGTGTTAAAGGGAACGGGCGTGCAGACTATCTTCCTGACACTGCAGTTGCTGTGGCTGGCCCAGTACTGGACAGAAGTGATGTTATCAATGCCATGCGCTGCACTTACCATACAGAGGAGCACGCCAAAGGAGATGACTCCATATCCCTGTCTAGACTAATGGACATGGGGGTGCAGCCTGGAGCTGCAAGAAATGAACATTTCACTAAGGGGACAAGACATTTCATTAACCAACACAGAACAGGCGTCATCGGTTGTTACAATTGTGGAGCTTTTGAGGAGGAGATCATAGCACCTATGGATATGTCCGGAGTGCTGTGATGATAATCCTTTCTAATCACTAATCACAGCTGCTTCAACCTAATCTGTTCTTGTGGGAATTGTAGAAGGCTGTCCCACACAGCTACTTTAACCTAATCTTTGTCTGTGAGAATTGTAGCATGCTGTCTTAGACAGCTACTTTAACCCACTGTGTGCCTTTGGGAATTGTAGCATGCTGTCCCAGACAGCTACTTTGAACCACAGATTGATAACGCGTCAGCAGCTTTCAAAAACCTGATATAAAAAGAATAAAACTCCAAATTGTTAATTTTAAAACCAAGTTACACATTTTAAATTCTAATGTTTTTTTCATTTTTAACATATACCACTCAAGACATGGAACGAATGCCTGAGGATGCAATGGGATGTATTCAGAAGGAGTAAAGAAATAAGAGAATTATCTGGGCAACCATTAGTATTAGTATCAGCCATTATAAAACATAGAAGATGGCTCTATATCGAACACATCCTGATAAGAAAGAGAAGAAATGGGCAGAGAATCGCTAGATAGGCACTGAAATGGGAAATAAAGGCCTGGGGATGTGAAGACGCCCAAAAGAAATCCTAAAATGAATGTTGATATGAGAGGTCATGGTATTGAAGTCATTGATTGACAGGATAGAACAGGATGGAGAAACTGACTGAAAGCCCAGTGTGACATATCTCATACAATGGCACAACAGGACAGTGATGGTGATGAAGTAGCTGTTTGCATTTCATTCCTGTGGGTGGTTGTCCAAGGGGCCCCAGCACACTGGTTTGCTCAGGGGCCCATAATGCTGTCAGGACGGCTAGATGAAAAAGGGGGGGGGGGGGAGCAGAATCTTTTAAGTGCTTAGGGAATCTTCTTCTTCTTCTTCTTCACTTCCTCTTTTACCACTGTGGGTGTCGATGGAGATATAAGGTTCTGTTTCTAGCTCTTCTGGCCGTCTCGACCATAGGCACATAGGGCTGTTGTAGAGTTTCTCTGATGTTATCCTTCCATCTTGTTCTTGGTCTACCTCGTGCTCTACGTCCTTCTTCTCTTTCCATGTATACTTTGTATGGTATGGTGTCACAAGGCATTCTCTCTAAGTGGGCAAACCATTTCACTTGCTGTCTTCGTATGTAATCCAGAATTAGTTCTGTGCCGGCTTTTTCTCTTATGATCTCATTCCTGATCATTTCTCTAATGGTCACTCCTACAGCCCTTTTCAGACATCTCATTTCCGTGGTTACTAATTTTCTTTTATGGTTTGTTGTGAGTGAACATGTCTGGCACTGGTAGCACAGAGTTGGAATAAATATGCTTTGAATAAGATGTCTCTTTGTCCTGATTGGGATTGTCTTATGCTGTAAGAGGGGGGCTAGCTGTCCCAATACTTGGTTTGCTTTACTGCATCTAATGGTAATTTCTTTATCCAATTTCCCATCTTCGGTAAATGTAGTTCCCAGATATTTAAACTCAGATGCCTGTTTAATGCCTTTGCACTCTATTGCTATGTTTAGATCTGTCTTCTTTTTTCCTATTGACATTACTTCTGTCTTTTCAGTGTTGATTCTCATATTATTTGTTTTACATTCTTCATTCATTGATGTTAGATGTTGTTGCAATTTCATGGCTGTATCTGCTATCAAGGCCTGGTCATCTGCAAAGAGTAATTCGTTGATCTTACTAACATTTTCATTCATGGGCTTGGCATTCTTGCATATACTGTCGATGTAGGTGATAAACAGCAGTGGTGATAAGACACACCCCTGTCTTACTCCAGATGTCACTGTGAATGGATGAGATGTTCCCCGATTTATTCTAACTACACTTCTACAATCTCTGTATAAACTTTTGCACACTTCGATGAGGTGTTCGCTTACTCCATATCTTGCCATTACTTTCCATAATAATTGTCTGTCGACTCCGTCAAATGCCTTCTCCTGGTCTACGAATGTCACAAATAAGTTCTTATTGATTTCAATGTTCTTTTCTATTAACTGTTTAAGTGTGAAGATTGCATCTGTGCAGCTTTTATTTCTCCTAAGTCCCATCTGTTCTTCTGCCAGATGTGGTTCTATCACTGGTCTCAGTCTTGTTTCAATTATCTTGGCATACATTTTGCCAACATGGCTTAAAAGAAAGATGCCTCGGTATTGACCGCATTCTCGTTTGCATCCTTTGTTCTTCCACAATGGTATAACTATTGCATGTTGCCAATCAATAGGGGCAGTTTGTTGTACCCATGCTGCATTAAATATTCTGTGAAGCCATCTCATGCTGCTTTCACCTGCTGCTTGAATTATTTCTGTTGGTAATCTATCAGCTCCTGGTGCTTTATATTTGGGAGACTGCTTAATGACTTTTTCTATTTCATCCATTAGTATGTGTGGTTGCTTAATGACTTTTTCTACTTCATCCATTAGTATGTGTGGTTCTAACACTGTTGCTCTGTGCTCTTCAGTTGTTCTTTCCTGATGATCTCCTAGAGGATTAAAGAGCTCATTGAAGTATTCCCTCCATCTTTCTGCTATCTCGGGTGGATCTATCAATGGCCTTCCTGTCTTATCATTAATTATTTCAGTTGGGTTGTAGCTCTCATCTTTTTTCCGCATATTTTTAACTACTTTGAAAAATTTTCTGTTGGCTGTTTTCTCATTTTCTGCTAATGACTCACTGAAACGTTCCCAGGATGCTTGTTTTCCTTTCTTGACACTCCTGTTGGTTTCTCTCCTTTGCAGTCTATAGTTTAAATATTCTTTTCTTTCTTTGATTTTATCCACTGTTTAAATAAGTCCTTTTTCTTTTGAATTGCTTCTTTTACTTCTTCGCACCACCAAAGTGAATATTTGTTATTTCCCCGTCTGTTTCCACTCTTCCCTTTTTCCACATAATTTTTCTGCAATACTAAGCATAGTGTTTTTATATTTACTCCATTCTTCCTCAATATTGCCAACTACATGTGGAAGTTGTTTGAATGCTGTCTCTACTTTCTGTTGTAACTGTTCTTTTACTCCTTCCTGTTTCAGATTTGCTATCTTGATGAGATCCTTGTTTCTGGTTAATTTTTTTCTGTGTTTCTTTAATGTAAGATGTTTTGCTGTTAACACAACTATTTTATGGTCAGTGTCACATAGACCATTAGGGATTGCTCTTGAATCAAGAATTCTCATTCTTCCTTGAGCTCTGGTAAGTATAAAGTCAATCTGGCTCTTGATGGAGACATCATTCCATTTGTACCAAGTGTAAAGTTGTGAATCTCTATGGTCAAAGAATGTGTTCGTAATAAAAAGATTGTGCTGGCTGCATAGATCCAATATTCTTTGACCATTTCCATTTCTAGCACTGTTCTTAGCTGCATGTGGACCTAAAAACTGTTCGAATTCTCTTCTGTTATTTCCTACCCTCCCGTTGAAGTCACCCATTACATATAGTGCTTAGGGAATCAAAGGGTCTTAATCTGTACCTGTGTAGGTGTTATAAGTGCACCCCATTATATATTTGTAGAGGATGAATATTTTCTCAGAAGTCAACCTTCTCCACACAGAATGCGGCCGGCAAACTTATGGCCAAGACTGCAGCTATGACTGCCCACAACACTGTGAGAATACCGTCTGTGATCATGTTTCTGGAATTTGCACACAAGGATGTAAGTCAGGCCATAAAGGAATTCTGTGTGACGAAGGTAAGCAGTGTGTTTGTATTCATTGCTTGCTGGAAGAATTGTACATTATCCGGTAGAAGACTTACTGTTTTCTTCCTTGTTCTCTTTCCTACTTTTGCTGTTCAGTTTTAGAACATTCACAAATAATGCTAAGAAAGATGGAAAGGGGGGGGGGGGGGGCTACATTTTCTTTGCATTATCTAGGTGTGTTGGGAAAATGAACAGGCAGACAGATTAGCTGGTGTTGCACCACTGGGTGGTGAATTACTGCATCACAAGCTAGATGTGCTCAAGGCCCTTTAGGTGCAAGTAAACAGTGTGGAAGCAGGAATAAATCATTACAGTCTGGAGAGGATGGTGCAGTTAGGGGGTGACCAGCAGACTCAACACTTCGAGGAAAGGGAAATAAAAAAGGACATACAGTCAGACTGTTGCTGGTACCGTCAGAAGAGGAACTCGTTGCTGACTGCTGAAGATGGGCCTCGAGCACTTATGGGAATGTCCTAAATGCTGTGATGCTGGTTCTCAACTTAACTCAGGGCACCAGTAGCGACCTATGGTTAGCTCTTCAAACAATGCTTTCTTGGTAGCATATTGTCATGTAGTAATGTTATTATTTGATACAAGAATGCAAGGTACTCCAAGGTAGTATTTGGATGTCCTAATTATAACGTTTTCAGGATTGAAGCAGCATCTAGGATTGGCTTTTTTTATATTGCCATCAGGGATGCTGCTCTTTGAGTTGCAGTGATGGTTAAACTTTCAGGTGATGTTGCATTTCTGGAAAACGAGGTCAAGGCCGACATTGAAGATTCACTGGCTATGAAGACACACAGAGTTGGAGAACTAGCTCATCATTATCATCAATCAGCAAGTCCTTGACATAACTTCGCTTGTTTGATGGTGCGCCTGAAAGTATCCCTTTCCCTAACCAGCTCTCCAGCCCCTTGGAAGGAAAAAACAATCTTTTGACCAAACTCTCTGACTTGCATCTGTCACATATCGCTCCTGTCGCGTGCCTGATTTAAGGATTTCTCCTTAAGAACCAACAGCACTCTGAAATAATTATGTTGAGTCGTTGGCTCGTATTAGTCTAAGGGATGCCCCGTGGCCAATATACGCTCAACTTATTTCAGGAGTAGGGCAACTCAAGTCTTGGCACTAAAAAATATATTATTCCTAGGTACACTTAGCTGGACCCCCCACTACTATAAAAAGATAGCCCCCAGGTTATGATAGTATACTATCATAGCCATGTTAACACAGATAACACTTATTACTCACACAAACATCAAAGCTAGACAGAATGGTGAAACAGGGACACCCAAGTCAACCATGAATATTTATGCATGTAATCAGTACAATATATACATATAATAAGGAATAGATTCTCAAGAATGTTTAGTTAATGGAGTTCAGGAATCAATGACACAACCCAGATATTGAAGCAGCCAGATATTGAAGCAGCCAGATATTGTTCCATGAGATGTACATGAGTTGATGCATGCAGGGAATTCTGTTCAAACTATGAAGCTGAAATAATTGCACTGGAAACAGCAGTATACCACCTAAAGACTGTAATGGATGTTTACCCTTCAAAGGTCCAAAATATTGTCATCTTCACAGATTCAATGTCTGCCCTTCATGTTCTTGAGGGCAGTGAACGCTGCAGAACTGACATAGCCAAGATAATCCTGGATGCTGATCAGCTTATTACCTCATACAACATCAGAATAGTGATTCCAGGTCACTCCGGCACACCAGGTAATGACAGAGCTGACAGATTGGCAAAGAAAGGAGCAACACAAGAACAACCACCTACAGCGACAACCCTCCAGACAGCAAAAACACTGATAAGAGCTATAAACAAAGAGACTTGGTTGAACAGATGGGCCATGGGAGACACTGGAAGAGAGGTTTATAGACATATGTCTGGCCCTGATCCTAATGACAGCATTAACCATCTAACAAGAAGGGACCAGGCCACCATCTTCAGACTTAGAAAGCAACATACTCCACTCAATGGACACAACACTCCCCAGAGTGCCAGCTATGTAACTACCCCTACGAAACTGTTGAACACCATCTATTTGAGTGCCCAAAACTCAGTGAGACAAGAAGAACGCTACTCCCTCCGAGACCAGACAAGTGGAACACCTTGTACGGAGGAAAAGAACAGCTTGTGAAAACATGCAAATTCCACTACATGGCATTGGGCCAAAGGGCGAAAGCTCATGCGCCGCTGGATCGATAACAACAACAACAACAACTTGTACATGAGTTCATCATCGGACTTATAAGGTGCTGTGGGAGAAGAGCATGTAATGTGAATAAAAGATCACTTAGCCCAGTTTGTAGGTCAATGCTCCCCTCAGTCCATGGTGATTCGACTGTAGTTGACTCAATCAGTAGTTGGGCCTCGACTTGATCTGGTACAAGCTGACTGTCACAAACGAGGACACAAGAACTGCATAGGAGCCCACCAAGGCTCTTGGAGACTGAGATGCCCGCTGCCGGTCTCACAGGTGATGACACAATAAATGCATAAGAGCCCAGCTCTTAAAGACTGGTTCTCTGGATTGATGACATAGGTGTCTGCAATTGTCCACTGGTCCTGGAACTCACAAATAAGCTCTTGCCATGTTAAGATAGTGGCACAGTATACAGGACTTTTGGATACGCTTGGTGCACAGAATGGTATGGGTTGGTGGTTGTTGGCTGGACTGTGATTCGTCTGCCTGATCTCTAAGGAGGTATCTTCCTGTCAGGAAAGAACTCAGAATTAGTAATCAACCTTTTTCACACACCAGCTCATCCCACCTCTGTCTTTCTCCAATCCTCAGAGTGTAACTCTCAAGATCAGGATACAATGTCTCCTTTCATTTATCTGTCTGTAAAATAGTGCAACAGATAGAAAACAAGGTATATAGTGGAGATAGACACTACCACACATAGATCATCCTCTCTCCACCCTCACATCTGCACTCGCAGACATACATTGTTTACAGTTAGTACCTATATATATTCCGTCTCCACAGGCTGTTCACTACACACCCACTGAATCTGTGTCAAACACACCATTGACTCAGAGCACCTAGAACTGACGGCACAGTATTTCACCGGTTAAAGATGACCTAGATTCCTTAATTCTGTTATGCGGCCAAAACTTTGTTTGACTGGTCAGAGAATAATTACCTATGGGTTAAATATCTTTACAAATGGTGTGGGTTATGTAGAGCACCAACTAATTAGTCTGTACAGAGGAAGGTCTAATGTTCGGAGCTTGATCTCTGGACATCAAGAACGGTCGAACTCTGTGCAATCACACAGCTGACTCTGCCCTCTCTGCAGCATTCGCCAACTTTAAAAAGACATCAATTATGGTACTCGTAAACTATAATCAACTTACCCAAGCTTAGGAAATCTTCCAAGATAGAAATGGAACTTTGAATGCGCCAATTTCTACATAGACTGTATACATGTCTTGACACTTTGGGATCAGGCGAAAGAATGTTTTTTCAAAATCAAACTTAGCGTCTCTAGGAAAGAAGTCCCCTGTATTCCTGCCCAAGGAGTAAACCGGTTTACAGGAATTTCTAAATAAATTACCAGAATTCATCAACTTACAGTTGCAAGTTTGAAAATGAAGATTTATCAAAGCAGCTAGAGGGTCCAGAAATGACTATATTACCAGATAAAGGTATATATCAATATAAGGGACTATATACCCTTCCAGACGGGTTTAAGTTTGAAATTTGACTGAGCGCGAGGAAAGTCAAATTCACGACTCGTCCATTGTGTAGGGTTGGCTGCTCACCTCACGACAGCATCCGACTAGCCCAGTCATTTCATTTGTTCTTTTCAAACATTTGCTGCAGTAGCTCAGTCTTTGTTGTTTTAAAATTTTGTCCTAGAGAATTGTTATGTTAATTGCTTCACACATTCATGACTGATTTCATAGAAGCACCGTGTTAGAGTGGTTTTAAAATCCATACTCTGTGCGATGTGTAATCACATGCCTATAGACACACCCTTATGTCACATGTACTGGCAATAATATTTGATCCTGATGTACCACTGTGTCATGTTGCTAAACTTCTAACATTTTCCCCTCTAATGTTCCTGCTGTCATAGTATATTCCAGTTTTTCTCTTCTTATGATACACCATAGCGGGGTCGGGTAAACCCTACCAGCAGGAGATGTAAGGTGCCTCCTCCCCCCCCCCCCCCCCCCCCCCCCCGCTAGCCTGTGGGATACCTCATGGGCAGGGATAGGGTAAGAGAAAGAGAATTCTTAAAACCTGTATAAATCCTGTCTTGATTTACGGAAGTGAATCATGGACAGTTGGTAAATTAATGGGTTCAAAAATTATTTGAAGCTACTGAGATGAGGTTTTTCAGACGAGTGATGAGAATATCCTGGACAGACAAAAAGGATAATGAAAATGTCTTGAAAGAAACTGACTCACAAAGAAAACTGATTGTCCGCATCAGAAAGAGACAATCTGAATTCTTTGATCATGTGGTGAGAAGGAGACAACTTGAGTACATCATGACAGAGAAAAGTTGGAGGGGAGGAAAGTTCAAATGATTTATGAAAGTGTGAATGTTGGAAACGAGTGCTCATTTTTGAAAATTGATGTGAAGGTTGGCACAGCCGGCCCCTTTTTCCAAATGAGAAAACACTTTCAATTCCATGAGATTTCGCCTGATGGCACTTGCTAAAAATTTCCAAAAATATTTACATGACCACACATACTGATGGCTAGTTTAAAAGAGCTCACCAGAAGTAAGCATGTTTCCAGTAGGATCATGGGAGTTACTTCTTGCGCTTATGACATTGCAGTACACCAGCTAATACTGTGATGCCGTGTGCAAAAATCTGATGATAGATGCCTGGAAGGAGGTGCACCATGGCAATTTTGTGACAGAAGCCCAGGTATTTCATTTTGATTAGTAGCTGGTATTGGAGGAAATCTCTGACAGATCTTCTGATCTAGCAGCTTCAGCAGCAGGCTTTGTCCAAATTTAATTATGTTCTCTTTACTTTGGAACAAACAAATGGCAGGCAGAGGGAAATTCATCATCTGTTTAATTCACCACTGATCACTGGCATCATGGAAGCTAATAGACTGACATGGTTGGGGCATATTGAAAAAAATGTCAGATGACAGGGAGATGATGGTTGTAGACTAGGCAGACCAAGAAGGAAATGGAGAGATAATGTCCAGACAGACCTGCAAACTTGGTGTCACCAGCTGGAAGAAGAAGGCAAACCAGAGATGAATGGAGGTGGGCGATAACTGCAGCAATGAACCTCAAGGGCTCGGAATGCTGAAGAGAAAGAAGAAAAAGGCAGAGGGAGGGATCATGCTGCACGGGCATCACCTGATCTCTACAGTACTAGCCAGGCTTTTCTGCAATGGAAGGGAGGAATTTTATCCCTGGCCTAAATTCGCTGTGATTCCCATGCCTCTCCAAAACACTATGGCTGGAACGACAGGAAGGTTCTAATGAAGGCTGAAATATACAGGCAACCTCAACACAACTGTCTCCTCACAGAATGTGCCAGGGGAACCTATGGCCAAGACTGCAACTCTACCTGCCCACAACACTGCCAGAATATTGACATACACCGGTCTGTCTGTCAACACTCTTCTGGAGCGTGTACACAGGGATGTCAGTCTGGCTACACGGGGCTTCTTTGTGATGAATGTAAGTACAGCTCCACATTCTTTTATTGACTGTGTCATCAACTTGCACAACATCTTGGGAAGAACAGTTTGTGGTCCAGTGCTTGATTGATAGCAGTGACCATTGTCATTGCTTGTGGGTGTGTATTGTATAGTGTTTAAAATTATTGTATCTGCATCTGGCTGTTCTGTATTGTTCCCAAATTTTGCTAAGTAGTCTGCTCTCCCATTGCCCATAATGTTGCAATGACCTAAGATCCTTCGGAGAAGTCTGCTTGGTCAGCTGACCCAGTTGATTCAGCGGAGATCTAAGCTTGTTGAACTGTACTTGACTATGGCATTTTATTGCTTGCAGTAGAGATTGAGCATCTCTCTGTATAACCGCTTCTGACTCTTTGTATTCACTGAGTAAAATGGATGAAGTTGGAAGAGTGGTAAACATGTTTTCCTCGCACTATGAAAAGTCATGGGCTCATCTTAGAACCAATTCCCAAGTGCACTTTTTTACGGAGATCCCTGGGGGATTGTCGCTGAAACTATGAAGTTCATGTTTTGTTTTACACTCTTCTCAGACGGGTAGCCATTTTGTGTATAGAGACCTAGGCATATTGGATAACCCAGGGCAGTAAAGTCAGGCTCTTGACTTTAACATCTTTATCCTATTGAGCAGTTCGTTATACATCAAAATAGGGCTGACAGTTTATTCTTCCTTTCCATTCTGTCTTATATATCATGGATGGAATCCAGTCCAGCACCTTTGACCTGTGTCATCAACATTTTCTTAAAGGTTTTGTTGTTGGGATGTCCTCGTTTCTTCAGTTCATTTCCCCTCAAATAAGTGCCTGGTTGGTGATTCTCTCTTTGCTTCATCTCACCAAATTGACATTCATCTTCTTCTTTCTTCTTCTGCCTTTTTAACCCCCAGTGGAGCATAGGCCCTCAACCAACTCATGCCAAGTCATTCTGTATTTCATTATAGCATGCAGCTGTCCCCGTGTCCTCCCAATTTTTTTAACTTCACTCTCTAGCTGTCTTCTACGTCAAGGATCCAGACTCTTACTCCACACCATGTCATTCTACTAGAAGAGCCTCCCCTCATCTTGATTGGCTGGGTTTTTGTTGTTTCTCTTTTGGACTTGTCCATGCTTGGCCGGTTTTTGTGGCTAATGTTTTTTACAGGATGAAGTAGCCAACCTGAAGTCCATAGTCGCCTCTTATGATATGCCTGGTAGGGTGCAGTGTCACCATTCTTTGCTTCCCGTGAGGGCCTCTGTGACACACCAAGACATTCATTTTGGGCCTTATTTAATCTTAAGGTTTAGGTTTAAACAACGGATCAACATCATGGCACAAAAGTAGTAACCCATAAGTGTTCCATTTTACTTCTGACTCAAGTCTGAGTCTGAAAAATCTCAGCGCAGTGCACAAACTCAGTAGCACTGGAAAAGTTTCTGAAATACTGTTGGGTAGATTTTTAACTCCAAATTTTGCCAGGGCATCGCCGTTAGGCTACTCTTTTCAACTCTTTCTCAACTGCCAAGGGTCAATACACACGGGCATCTAATCTTATTACCCAGAGACCAGGGGAAATTATTAGAAGTCTGTGAAAAAAAACCCAGCCTACACCGGGGGCCTGAACCCGGGTCCTCCAGCACTCGAGGCTTGTGCCGTGCTTTGAGACCACGCACCCTTATTTTCTCATGAGCAGATTTCATTTACATAATTGATTCTGCTGCTCTATGTCTAGATTTATTTTAGTTGTTGTCTTTGTTCATATTTGATTGGCAGTATATGCTGTCTTTTGATCAGCAGTCACCCAAATAATCTGAACTAGTCACGTATAATTTAAACTGACAAGCATTATTATCTACAGGAGGATGATATGAAAACAAAGCTGAAAATATTTGTAAATGTGGTATGTGCACCTCTGGCTCTTCTACATCTGATCCTTACAGTTATCGCAAGGTTTTCCAGTGCCTCTTTCCACTTCATATGACAAAGAAACAAACAAAAACTTCCACATCTACCTGAGGTCTATATCTTCTGCCTTCAGCAGCAGTTTCTGAGTGACAGGTCAAGCTGGTGTCTGTAGTTTATGTTCTTAATTTATGTTTAAGCTTTTAGCCATGTTGTTTATTTGTCAGTCTAGTTGTCATCATCATCATGTGTTTTGCCTTCTGAATCACAGTTCAGGTCAGTCTTCCTGCCTCTTTTCGTCCATATGGCTACCATCCAGGTATTCATCTCTTTGCCTTTATCTTGCTCTCTTTCCGTCAAACTTGTTGGCTGTTACCACATTCTAAGGTCCTTTCCTTCTCATAACCTATTTTTTTTAAAAACCACCCATAAGTCTAGTTATTATTATAATTTTATGACTTTTAACTGTCTTGAATAGGACTGCCTTATTTGTTTTTCTATCTGCATTCTTTTCAAAGTCACGTCTCCAATGCAAGTGAATGTTTTTTTTTCAGCCGGTCTGCTTATTGTCCACATATCATTTTCCTATAGAAGTCAGAATGATCTACTTGAGAGGCTAGAAACCAGCAGTCTGCATACAAAAAAGCAAGATCAGCAATATAGATTATGCATGCAACACTCTCGGATTAAAACTAAAGCCCAGAAGTGAATTGAGTTGAGACAAGAATTGACATCACAGCACTCGGGGCATTCCAATATGCGCTCCGTCCCCATCTTCAGCAGCCAGCGCAGCGTTCCAGTACTGATGGTACCGGTCACAACCTTTTTTTTAATGTTCGTCTTACCTTTCCTCTGAGTGTAGTGAGCGGGCCAGACCCTCTGGTTACACCCATTTGCCTCATTCTCTCAAGGCTATAATAATCTGTTTTCCTACTCATTGAGTTACATTGGAAAATGGCTCCTTTAAATACAAAAATGTGTTGGGTTGGAAGTGTGCCCCATGGGTGTCTCCATGCTGCAGCAGTGAGTGAGCTTGTATTTCTCGACAACCCTGAGAGCTATGTTGGTGGTAGCGTAGCTGCCAGTATGGTCTCCCAAGCCGCGGGGTAGAGGGGGAGGTCTTATGTTAGCATTGGCACTTTAATTATGTCATCATTGCAAATCCTGGTGTATAGCATGTCCAAGTGGTACCTATGGTGAGAACTGCATCCATTCCTGTCCTGAATTCTGTGACCCGAGTGGCCAGCAAGCCTCTGTTTGTCACCACATTGAAGGAGTCTGTCTCAATGGTTGTCAGCCTGGTCGTATGGGAGATTTTTGTGAACAAGGCAGGTATATGTATATCTTATGTTAATATATGTTGAATGAAACTCATTTTCAGTGTATGGGTTTGGGGTCTCAGTGTGGAGGTGAAAAGAAAAAAGGGTTAGTTCGATGTTTGTCTCCCCAAATAGAGTAGGTCAATTTTCATTCACAATTTTGTGGGGTTGGTCAACTTTTCTGAAGATTATGGGTGTATCCCGCTCTGTTGTTTGGTTTCTGCGATGTCTTGCATTTACGTTTTCATTTCAAGAAAGAGGATACCTGTGGTTTAATTTGCAGCACTCTCTATGGGGGTTGTGTTAGACCCAGTTTTCGGAGTGTTAAAAGTGCTGGCGTACTGAAATATGCAACACACGATATCAGTGGCATTGCAGAACACCCCCGTAACCATGAGCGAAGGTCAAAGGGGCTCAGGAACTACCAAACAGAAGTGAGCTAGTGTGTAAATAGGTGGGGTCTGGGAACACTAACGTCCAACTAACTGCAAAAAAGATAAACATACTACCCCTCTAACAAGTGTGTTGTTAAAGTCAGCTAATTAGGTGTGTTTTCTTTTGAATTGAAGTGCATCTGCCTGAGAGGCAAGGAACCAACAATCTGCCTGCAAAAAAAGCCAAATTTGTGAAATGGATGTGTACATAAAAACTCAAGTTCAGGAACAAGACTAATATGCAGAAGTGGTTGAACAGCCTGAACTTTCCTGCAGGGTTTTCAGCGGGGAATGCTAAGAATCAGAAAAACTTGTTTTGTGAATCTTATGCATGGGTTATGTTGCTTGTTTTATATTTTGGGAGTTGACTGAAGGTTTACACAGTTTAGAATGTTTGTATTGAAAAAGAAATTTCCCACTCCAACGGGCGCTTATCATGACATTTCTCATTTTGTCATGTTTTTTTTTTTAAATCCTCTTATTGCCTAACATGGTAGAAATTATCATGACATTTCTTATAATTTCATGTTTTAATGCTGCCGTAGCCTGTCACGGTAAAACTCACCATGACATTCCTTATCTTTTCATATTTTTATTGTCCTGTCGCCTGACGTAGTAAACTGAGCATGGCATTTCTGATCCATTCATGTTTTTATTCTCTTGTAGCCAAACATAATAAACCCAGCATGCAGTTTTGTTTTAAATCCATACACGTTTTTTATCCTGTACTAGCCTTACATGGTAGAGCTCAACATTAACAACCTTTTTATTGATCCTCCACCCTGACAAACCTGGGTGTTTACCCATTATGGAATTTTGTTATAAATCATTACATGTTTTTATCCTGTACTAGCCTTACATGGTAGAGCTCAACATTAACAACCTTTTTATTGATCCTTCACACTGATAAACCTGGGTGTTTACCCAGCATGCAATTTTGTTATAAATCCTTACATGTTTTCATCCTGTACTAACCTTACATGGTAGAGCTCAACATTAACAACCTTTTTACTGATCCTCTACCCTAACAAACCTGGGTGTTTACCCGGGGAGTATAAACATGAACCATAATATTTCTTGTAGATTCACATTTTAAAAATATCCCTTAACTACATGCTCAGTATCCCCATCCTATGTTGAACTATAGCTTCCCTGGAGCCACCAAGAGCCCTATTATAACTGTGTTATACTTGGTATCTGTGGCTTAGCCGCTGCAAACGTGCTTCCTAGTGCCGGGTTCTATCCCAGTCGCAGGCAATTTGGCAGCAGGCTGCCTTGCATCAATTTCAGCAGTGGAATCGACAGCCGACCATTAAGCAGCAATGGCAAACTAATGAACAAAGAATTGCCTAGAAAAACCACAACAGTACAAACATTCTGGTGTTGGTTATGCAATATTCTGTAAAGGACATGAAGCAATTTTTTTTTTAAATAGATTAAATGAGGTTACTAGAAATCACTGTCATTGGATTTTTTTTTATCAGGATGGTATCGCTTTAAGTCCCTGGATGTTAGTCTTATAGGGTTATACAAACGTTATTCTCCCCCCAAAAAAGTAGGTCACGTTCAATTCATAAGTTTTTTGGGCTGGTCTATCTTTCTGCAGGTTACGCGTTGTTTGCTTTCTGAGTTTTCTTGCATTTACGTTTTTATTCCGAGAAAGGGAATGCCTGTGACATAGGTTTCATTACTCCCTAAAGGAGTTTTGTGTTAGACCCAGTTTGTCAATGTTTTTGGAGTGTTAAAAGCGCTAGCATGCTGAAATTTACAACATGTGATAAGAACTGCATTGCGCGAAAAACCCCGTAACCTTGTGGCAAGGTGGCGTGGCTCAAGGTCAACCAATCAACAGTGAGCTAGTGTGTATCACTGTAAATGGGAATACTTAACATTTGAATAAACGTCTTATAGTGTGCAATCTGGGAGGGGAAAAAACATGTGGGTGAAAAGGGGGGGGGGGGGGGGGGGGTTGATGTGTTTTATCCTTTCAGAGCTGATCCTGGTAGAAATCAGCATTAACATTTTTATGTTTACTTTTCTGGATTCTTTAGAATGTGAGCGTGGATTTTATGGTAAAAACTGCAACGAAACCTGCTCTCAGTTCTGTGCGGCAGATGACCCCAGTCAACTTGTGTGTAACTACATTGATGGCTCCTGCCTACAAGGATGTCAAGATGGATATTATGGCCTTAGGTGTGCTGAACGTATGTGCAATACTTCTCCCCTTTTCTCTTTTCGTATGACCTATTGGACAGTGTGTTTTAGTTAAATTGGAAAATATCTCCCTTTATTACAAAAATGTGTTGGGTTGGAAGTGTGCCCCATAGGTGTCTCCACATTGCAGCAGTGGGTGAGCTTGTATTTCTCGACAACCCTGAGAGCTATGTTGGTGGTAGCGTAGCTGCCAGCATGGTCTCCCAACCGGGAGAGGGGGGGGGGGGGGGGGTTTGTTGAAGATTGGCAATGACACCCCTACCTTGGTAAAACTTCATTTTGTCATGAAACTGATATCTACGTCTCAATTTTAGATGGATTTAAACAGACAGCGAAACTTGAACGTAAAAGGACTTTTGAGATTTGGAACATGGAATGTACGAACCCTTTATAGAGCTGGAGCAGCTGAAGAACTGACCCATAAGTTATCCGATTACAGAACGGATAAAACAGCGATCCCAGAAATGGGGTGGCCAGGACAAGGTACCATAGAGGAAAATTAAATTATCATAGTGTATGGAGGAAACAAATCATGAGGAATATGGGCTTTCCATCACATATAGTGCAGCTCATTAAAATGCTCTATCAAGACCAACAAGCAGCAGTCAGAATAGATGGAGAGACATCAGACTGGTTTGGCATCAAGCAAGGAGTCCGTCAGGGATGTGTGCTGTCACCGTATTTGTTCAACCTGTACGCCGAAAATATAATCAGAAATGTAAGAGATGATATAAACAAGGAACAATATGATGCCCTAAACATCGGTAGTCATGAAATACCAGAAATTCGTTATGCTGATGATACAGTATTACTATCAACATCACAAAATGGTTTAGAAAACTTATTAACCTCACTCCAAAGAAATAGTGAAAATCATAACTTATTTCTTAACATAGCAAAAACAAAGATAATGCATACAAACAAAACTGCCATGGAGAAGGAAATATATGTTAATGAGGAAAGATTGGAAGTGGTGGAAAATTTCGAATATCTTGGGTCACTGGTTACCAACAATGGTGACACAATGAAAGAAATTAAACGGCGACTATCAATTGCTTTTCAAAGACTAAAACAACTGAATAAATTATGGAATTGTACAGATAGAATTACAAAGGTCAGATTTTTAAGAGCATGCATCTTTCCCATTGCAACATACGCCTGTGAGACCTGGACACTTACTAAACAAGCGGAACAGCGCATAAATGCATTTGAATATAAATGTTACAGACAGGTTCTAAGAATATCTTGGGTAAAGAAAAGAACAAATGCATCCATACTTCAAGAGTTGAATATTGAAGAGGGTTGGCTAGTAAAGACAATAAAACAAAGAAAATTGAAATATTTTGGTCACTTGAAACGTCATGGAAGTCTAGAGAGAACAATAATGGAGGGGTATATGCCTGGGAAGAGAGGAAGAGGAAGGCCAAGGAGAAGATGGGTGCAGGATGTGGCAGATGATCTCCAGATGGGTGTATCAGACGCAGGACATTTTGCTCAGGATAGGAAGGTTTTCCGGAGGGTTGTTATGGCAGCGAGGTTCTGCGAGGGACATGCTACTGAATGAATGAATGAATGGAGGAAACGCTCAAAAGAATGAATTATCATAGTGTATGGAGGAAACGCTCAAAAGAAACATGAACTAGTGACAGGATTTGTCCACTATTTATTAATGATGTCATCAAAAAAGTTACGAATAAAAGGAAAGTGGAAAAATATCCCAATGATAAATGTGCGTGCACCCACTGAAGATAAAAAAAGATTATACTAAAGAAGATTTCTATGATCTCCTTGAGAATATCATAGAGGAAACTCAAAAATCAGACATATTGATTTAGGGGATTTTATGCAGAAATTTGAAGAGAAAATTCAATCATAAGATGCAGCAGTGGGGAATTGGGAGAATCATGAAGGCTAATAGACTGAAATTGCTGGGGCATATTGAGATGTCAGATGACAGAGAGGTAAAAAAGGAAGCTGAATGTCATAGACCATGATGTAGACCTAGAAGGTGATGGAGATGACATCACTTGGTGTTATCGGCTAGAAAGAGAAGGCCAAACAGAGAGATAAATGGAGGCGGGTGATATCAGCAGTGAACCTCAAGGGCTAATGCTGAAGAAGAAGGAGGGGGAAATTTTATTTCTAACTTACTAAGTCTATCCTCTTCTGCCTTGGGGTGTAGAGGTGTATCAGAGAAATCGCCAGACTTCTTTGTCAGGGGATGTCTTTTTTGACTTTGTTCTATTCCAGTCCTCTGTCAGTCAGGGGCTGATAGATGTTGTCTTTCCAGAGAATCCTGAGTCATGCTGGTGGTCTGGTTCCCTGGTTCTTGACCACCGGTGACTTCCACGGTGGCCACTCTTTCTCATTCTGCATACATGGCCACACCATCATAACTGTGACTGATCTCTTTATATTCAACGGCTTTTTCACTCATCTGTCTAGGGGTGAAGATGAGATCTTGAGTGCTCCGGTTTGCTCTGAAACCACATTGTGCCGGATAAAGCTGTGATTCCGCCAGACATCTCAGACTCTGCTCGAGAATTCTAGAGTAACTTTTACTGGGAACAGTGAGGAGAGATATGCCTCTGTGATTTTTGCATTGTCTGTTATCACCCTTTTTAATATAAGTGTAATGATGGCAATCATTCCCAATCTTCTGATATAATCTTACTACACCTGGCTGTCTAGAAAACCTTCAGGAGAAGTCAGTCAGCTGGAATTCCCATTTATTTGAGAATTCCAAAAATCATGTCCTTCTGCTTTTCCCAGCTTAATAAGGGGAGCTGGCCGAGGCTCAACACTCAGGGGAAGGGCAAGATGGATATACATTCAGGCAGTTACTAGTGCCATCGGAATTTGAACTCTTTGTTTGCTGGTGAAGATGAGGATGGAGCGCTTATGGGAGTGTCCCGAGTGCTGTGGTGTCGATTCTCAATTCAGTATTTAACATTCATTCCATTCTTAGTTCTCAATAGCTGTCTTCAATTCCCCCTTTACTTTTGTTTTTATCCCCATGATTGCCTCACTGTTATCTCTGAGACATGACTTTCCTCAACCCTGAGGAGCTCTGAGAAGTATTCTTGCCATCTGCCCATGACATCGTTTATGGTATTAGGCAGAGCCCCTTCTCTGTGTTTTACTAATTTCAGCAGGCATTATTTTTCCTTTGTCATGTTCTTGAGGGTCTTGTTATATTTAAAACAAAAGAAATTGTCAACTGAACTACATTCACTGTGTGGGTTCCAGGCCCTTTGGGGAAGATTGGGAATCCACTGCTGAAGATGGGGACTGAGCTCTTATGGGAGTGTCCCGAGGGTTGTGATGTTGATTCTAAATTCAACATTCAATATCTATGTTATTTTTGTCAGTGTCAGTTTAATGTCGCGTCTGGTTTATCTTAATGCTAGATTAAATTAACTCATTAACTTGGTCTATGTCATTTTTGTCAGTGTCAGTTAAATTTCTCATCTAGTTTATGTTAATTCTAGATTAAATTAACTCATTAACCTGCTCTATGTCATTTTTTTCAGTGTCAGTTAAATGTCTCATCTGGTTTATGTTAATGCTAGATTAAATTAACTCATTAACCTGATCTATGTCATTTTTTTCAGTGTCAGTTAAATGTCTCATTTGATTTATGTTAATGCTAGATTAAATTAACTCATTAACCTGCTCTATGTCATTTTTGTCAGTGTCAGTTAAATGTCTCATCTGATTTATCTTAATGCAAGATTAAATTAACTCATTAACCTGATCTATGTCATTTTTGTCAGTGTCAGTTAAATGTCTCATCTGGTTTATGGTAATGCTAGATAAAATGAACTTATTAACCTGATCTATGTCATTTTTTTCAGTGTCAGTTAAATTTCTTATCTGATTTATGTTAATTCTAGATTAAATTAACTCATTAACTTGGTCTATGTCATTTTTTTCAGTGTCAGTTAAATGTCTCATCTGATTTACGTTAATGCTAGATTAAATTAACTTATTAACCTGATCTATGTCATTTTTTTCAGTGTCAGTTAAATTTCTTATCTGATTTATGTTAATTCTAGATTAAATTAACTCATTAACTTGGTCTATGTCATTTTTGTCAGTGTCAGTTAAATTTCTCATCTGATTTATCTTAATGCTAGATTAAATTAACCTGGTCTATGTCAGTCTTGTCAGTGTCTGTGCTCTCTCTGGCTGATCAGTTTGTCTTCTTTTGTTTAATTTGTGAACAATCACAGTACTGTCTCTGTGGGTATCAATAAGGTAAAAGTGTCAGTTTCCATGGGAGAAAGCCATCTTGATCACATTCCTGTCATGTTCTGTTTATGATTCAGCTTGCGACAATGACCACTATGGCAAGGGTTGTGGCAACATCTGCCCTGAATTCTGTGCACTGCTTGACTTTGACAAGCCAGTCTGCCATCACATTAGTGGAGAATGCCTGCACGGATGCGAGGCCAGCTATCGGGGTCCACACTGCAGTGACAGTCAGTTTTGTTTTTTAAGGTTTTCTATGTTCGTTTTATGTTATGAGAAGAGGGAAAATAGATGTTTTGACCACTGGCAAGATCTGTGGAAGGAGGGATAGAGGAAGACAATAAGAGAAGATTCTTGACAGTCTTGTTGCATGGCATGGAGGTGTGTCGGCACACGAACTGATACATGCTGCAGGAGATCGCAGATTGTGGAGAGGCATGACTGCCCACGCCAGTCTGCAAGGCACCTGATAATGATGATGATTGTTCGTTTTGTTTTATGCTGTTTAATTTGTTTTTAAATTATTATTGTTATTGAAGTACTATTTTTTAAAAAAAATTTTTTTTTGTTGTGCTTATGTCTGTATATGTATTTTTTGGTGCTGTTTTTTTCTATATGTCTTTGTTGTGCTATGTTCTTATGTTAATTTTTGTTTTTGCTACGTTTTTCACATGTGTGATTATTGTGCTGTGTTCTATAGTATTTTTATTCTTTTCTTTTCAACATAGTCTATTTTTAATTATATCTGGGACTGAAATTGTCAAGAACAAAATTGTTGTTAACATGTTTTAAATTGTGCTTACTTCTGTATATGTTTTGTTTGTGTGGGTGCTCGCATGGGGTGGGGGGAGGGGGTGTATTTTCTTCTATACTTGTCGTTATAATGCTATGTTCTTATTATTATATATTATGTTTTTTATTGTGCTATGCTCTTGCCATGTTTTGTTTCAAGTTCATGGCATGTTTTTTATTGTGCTGTGTTCTTCTGAAAATTTATTTCTGCTATTTTCATGTGTTTTAATCATTCTGCATGGAATGCCGGAACACTTGTACAAACAAGAAAGTTGGACAACATCAAGAGGGAAATGAAGAAAATGAATATCAGAATATTAGGAATTTCTAAAATGTGTTAGCCACGAGCAGGGGAAAAGTATGTAGATAAACACACAATCATTTACTCAGGTGTTAGCCAACATTGTGGATCAAACCAGGATAAGCGCCAACGCAAGAGCAAGTCCTAACCCCCCCCCCCCCCCCCCCCACCTTCCTCCACACCTCCATCTGCTTCCTCAAGGCTTGGCAGGTATCTAAAGGTAAAGTCAACAAGGTTGCATACGCTCCATCAATACTTGACTTTGTGAGGGACTGGTTAATGGCGGTCCACCTGCTTGGTTTCACAAAGTACCCAGAATCAATCTGAAAGACCGGCCGGAGACTAGAAATTGTCCTGCACTCTGCGGAAAAACGTCAGCTCATCCTTATAGAGCTGACTGTGCTGTACTAGTCACGGATGGAGAAAAATGACCTGTACAAACTCAAAAAGTATGATGACCTGGTGACCGGTCTGAGGAGAGATGAAGCGTACACAGTAAAAATCCTCACCTTCGAGGTAGTTGCAAAAGGGCTGATCTCCACCTCCACATACAAATTAATGAAGCACTGGGCTTGAGAGGAAAAGAGTGTAAACGGACACAAAAATAACTGAAAGGGCTTCGAGCTGGCTGTGGACGCAACGGAACGTCGTGGGGGCTAGGCCTGGGTAGACTGGTCTGAGCCCCTAGTGAAATAGAGCTTTTCATCCCTTAAAAGCCAAAGTGACCTATAAAATGTCTGCTAGTCTCTCTCTGCCAATTGCTAAAGTCTTAACATCCATCCGTTAAACTAACAAAAACAAAACACTAGACAATAGAAGCTTGAAAACCATCAATCTTTACACATACACTGTCCCATTATTTTTCAACATAATTTCTACCAACACTGATGAACTTGTTTTATTGGTCCTCCAAAACTTGCTGCATAGAACTGTGTGCTCTGTTTTCTAAACCACATTTTTACTTCACAATCAGCTTATGCATCCTTTGTGAAATATCTCCTGCCAAGGTGAGTTTTCAGTGGACTAGAAAACCATGTGAGCACCCTATTGCAGCTGCTACAGAGTCAACTGTTACTCACCTGTAACCTGTAATCATCTCCTCAACCTTCTGCATGGATGTCTCTGTTGCAATCTCAACAGGGTGACCAGACCTTACTTCATCAACAATCGTAGAGCATCCTTGAGAAAAATTCTTTACCCAGCTGTGCACCGCTTTACTGGATAAACATTTGTCAGCATAAATAGGAATCATTCCTTATGAATGTCCTTTTTCAGGAAGTCCTTTTGTCCAGAAAATTCACAACAGCACATTGTTCTTTGAGTTTATACTCAGTAAGTTCAGTTGCCATTTTGTTTCTGTGTTGAGCATGCAACACCTAGCATCACCTAACGAACAGAGACATGGTATTCGATGTTGCTGTCACCTAATGACATCTTTAGAAACCACCAACCACATTTTCCTGCCATCCAATAACCATAAGTGACTTATTTATTACTTCCACTCGTACTATCACCTGATTTGTTTTAATTATACAGTGAATAATTAATTAAATATACCATGTATGTGTGAGGAATTGTAGTTGGTGGTTGTAACAAACAACCTGCGTCTTGCTGATGACACCATCTTGATAGTGACAAGTCAGAAAGAACTTCAGGAATTGATAGATGCAATAAATCTATGTCACAGGGCGTAAGGACAGGTTTAAACATTTGACTGTTAATCATGGACAATGAACAAGCCAAATAATTTCTTGAGGCCTTGAAGATGTGGTTTTACAAAAAGATCCTAAGAATTCATTGGACAGTCAAAAAGGCAACCCAGATGTTTTGAAAAAGGCGAGGGCTCGAAGACAGCTTATCATAAACATCAGAAAGACGGAAACTAGAACATGTTGTGACCACTGGAAAGATCTGTGGAAAGAGAGACAGGAAGACAGCACGAGAGGATTCTTGACAGCCTTTTGTCCTGGCATGGAGGGGTGTCAACACACAAACTGATACACGCAGTTGCGGATTGCCGATTGTGGAGAGAGTGATCGCCTACGCTAATCGGTGAGGCACTTGATTAGCCACACCCTTTACATGTTCTGTTTATAATGTTACATGGGACAGGAAGTGTCAAAAACAGAATTGTTGTTCAACTTTTAGACTGCGAACCTGGCTGGTTTGGATCAGGATGCAAGTACAAGTGCCACTGTTCGGATGAGAATACCTGTTGGACAATTAACTCTTGTATTGTCGATGGGGAAACCAGATGCTACTGGGGCTGGTTTGGTCCAGCGTGTCAGTATGGTAGGTTTTCACATGTCTTCTCATTTTGATTGGTTGCTTCTGCTGATAGACTGTTGTAGAAGTTTTATCACACCTCATCACAAACATTTAAAAAAAACATAAGTAAAGGACCCTTTTCCACACCTTTAGGCATATAGGGCTAGACCTATATTTGTATAGACCAATCGGCACAAGATGGGTGATGTGGTACTGCACCTGCTACCCACTCAAGGCTGGGTCGACCTGGGAGCCAAAGTCATTTTTGAAAGCGTATAGCTGCTCGGCCGCAGCGACTCCCCATAAGAAAAAAGATATTCATAATTTGTGTGTGTGGTAATTTTATGAGAAGAAAGAGACTGACACGTGTTGTGACCAGTGGAAAGAGAGACTGATGAAGATAGTGTGATTGTTGGCAGTGATTTAATTGTAGTATGCAGGGAGTGTCAGCAAACAGACTGATACATGCTGTTAAAGATTGCAAACTGTGAAGAGGCATGATCAGCCCTGCCAGTCAGCAAGGCACTTAATGGTGAAGGTGTTGTTTTTTTTTAAAAATGTTTATGTATGTGTGCATTCATTCATGCATGCATGTATGTGTGTGTTAACACATAGGTTGTCATGCAGAGAGTAAGCAGGAGTTGCAAGACCTAGTGGAGCAAGTAAACAGAAGAAGTGCAGAATAATGATTAGATATTAATTTGAAAAAGACAAAAACCATGATATTTAGCAAAGAAAATAATCAGCTAACAATAAATATCACAGTGAACGGGGTGAAATTGGAAGAAGTTAAAAATTTCTTATATCTTGGACAAGTAATAACATGCGACGGCAGAAGTGAAACAGAAGTCAAGAAAAGAATAGGGATGGCCAAAAACATTTTCAATAACATGCAAAAGTTACCGACATCAAGAGAAATAAGCAATACATTAAAAATGAGAATTGTCAAATGTTATGTATTCTCAACCTTACTGTATGCCACAGAGACATGGACAATGAATAAACAACTGAAAAATCGTATCAATTCTTTGGAGATGTGGATATACAGAAGATTAGGTCGTATTTCATGGAAACAAAAGCTATCAAATACAGAGGTACTGAGGAAATTGGGAATAAAAAAAAGAGAGTTGCTAGGTGAAATAAAAAAGAGACAAGTAAAATATTTTGGTCACATTAAAAGACAAAACAGTATTGTAAAGATCATCCTGGAGGGAAAGGTTTAAGGTAGGCGAGCAAGAGGAAGACAGCGTTACAAGTGGGAGGATAACATCAAGAGATGGACGAACAGCAGTATGAGTGAGTGTACATCAAGGGCAAGAGACAGGGCTTGTTGGAGATCCATTGCAGCCAACCTTCATTGTGGAGACGACACCTGACTGATTGATTGTCATGTTACACATGATCTCCAGAAGCATAGATCAAGTCAGTATTCTTGTCTCATCCATACCCCCCTCCCCAAAACCATGTTAAGCAAGCCCATTTAATTATCTCTTTACTTTCCATTTCAACCTGTTTGAATTACAGAATACAACTCTATACTACATCCTGTAGCTAGAGACCACAACATACAGCTGGTTACTACAACCTACACAGTTTTATTAATGATTGTGTTTGATTTGTACAGTTGATCTGGCACATAGTCAGACCATTGTCAACCTGGATCAAAATCTGCGGACATTGAGTGATGGAAAGGATACTACATGCCTTCAGCCTGGCACCATGAACATCACAGTGTCATGGTATCAACCTTACATACTGACTTGGCTGAGAATACATCTTAGAGAGACTAGTAAGTTGTCTTCATTGAAACTTAGGGATCTGTTGTAGTGTTTCTTAAACATTTGTTGTCATATGATACCAACCCATATTTTTTAAGACCAATTGCAGATCAATAGGGTAATTAGGCATTAACAAACCAACTACTTTCACCTCCCAGAACATTTCCTGATACTTAAATTAGGCTAAAAAATCTGCCCCATCCGGGAATCAAACTTATTACCATATAGTTGGTAGACAAAAATATTGGCCACAACACTACCACAGCTTCCAGTCAAACCTGATAGCTACTACACTACCACAGCTCCCATACAAACATGCTAGCTACTACCTAACCACATCTCCCAGACAAACATGTTAGCTACTACCTAACCACATCTCCCAAACAAACATGCTAGCTACTACCTAACCACATCTCCCAAACAAACATGCTAGCTACTACCTAACCACATCTCCCAGACAAACATATTAGCCACTACACTACCACATCTCCTAGACAAACATGCTAGCTACTACCTAACCACATCTCTAAGATAAACATATTGGCCACAACACTACCACAGCTTCCAAACAAACATGATAGCTACTACACAACCACATCTCCCAGACAAACATTTTAGCCACTACACAACCACATCTCCCAGACAAACATATTAGCCACTACACAACTACATCTCCCAGACAAACATATTAGCCGCTACACAACCACATCTCCCAGACAAACATATTAGCCACTACACAACCACATCTCCCATACAAACATGCTAGCTACTACACAACCACATCTCCCAGACAAACATGCTAGCTACTACTGAACCACATCTCCCAGAAAAACATGCTAGCTACTACCTAACCACATCTCCCAGATAAACATATTAGCCACTACACTACCACATCTCCTAGACAAACATATTAGCCACTACACAACCACATCTCCCAGACAAACATATTAGCCACTACACAACCACATCTCCCAGACAAACATATTAGCCACTACACAACCACATCTCCCAGACAAACATATTAGCCACTACACTACCACATCTCCTAGACAAACATGCTAGCTACTACCTAACCACATCTCTAAGATAAACATATTGGCCACAACACTACCACAGCTTCCAAACAAACATGATAGCTACTACACAACCACATCTCCCAGACAAACATATTAGCCACTACACAACCACATCTCCCAGACAAACATATTAGCCACTACACAACCACATCTCCCAGACAAACATATTAGCCACTACACAACCACATCTCCCAGACAAACATATTAGCCACTACACAACCACATCTCCCAGACAAACATATTAGCCACTACACAACCACATCTCCCAGACAAACATATTAGCCACTACACAACTACATCTCCCAGACAAACATATTAGCCGCTACACAACCACATCTCCCAGACAAACATATTAGCCACTACACAACCACATCTCCCATACAAACATGCTAGCTACTACACAACCACATCTCCCAGACAAACATGCTAGCTACTACTGAACCACATCTCCCAGAAAAACATGCTAGCTACTACCTAACCACATCTCCCAGATAAACATATTAGCCACTACACTACCACATCTCCTAGACAAACATGCTAGCTACTACCTAACCACATCTCCCAGATAAACATATTAGCCACTACACTACCACATCTCTCAGACAAACATGTTAGCCACTACACAACCACATCTCTCAGACAAACATGTTAGCTACTACACAACCACATCTCCCATACAAACGTATTAGCTACTACACAACCACATCTCCCAGATAAACATATTAGCCACTACACTACCACATCTCCTAGACAAACATGCTAGCTACTACCTAACCACATCTCCCAGATAAACATATTAGCCACTACACTACCACATCTCTCAGACAAACATGTTAGCCACTACACAACCACATCTCTCAGACAAACATGCTAGCTACTACCTAACCACATCTCCCAAACAAACATGCTAGCTACTACCTAACCACATCTCCCAGACAAACATATTAGCCACTACACTACCACATCTCCTAGACAAACATGCTAGCTACTACCTAACCACATCTCTAAGATAAACATATTGGCCACAACACTACCACAGCTTCCAAACAAACATGATAGCTACTACACAACCACATCTCCCAGACAAACATATTAGCCACTACACAACCACATCTCCCAGACAAACATATTAGCCACTACACAACCACATCTCCCAGACAAACATATTAGCCACTACACAACCACATCTCCCAGACAAACATATTAGCCACTACAAAACCACATCTCCCAGACAAACATATTAGCCACTACACAACCACATCTCCCAGACAAACATATTAGCCACTACACTACCACATCTCCTAGACAAACATGCTAGCTACTACCTAACCACATCTCTAAGATAAACATATTGGCCACAACACTACCACAGCTTCCAAACAAACATGATAGCTACTACACAACCACATCTCCCAGACAAACATATTAGCCACTACACAACCACATCTCCCAGACAAACATATTAGCCACTACACAACCACATCTCCCAGACAAACATATTAGCCACTACACAACCACATCTCCCAGACAAACATATTAGCCACTACACAACCACATCTCCCAGACAAACATATTAGCCACTACACAACCACATCTCCCAGACAAACATATTAGCCACTACACAACCACATCTCCCAGACAAACATATTAGCCACTACACAACCACATCTCCCAGACAAACATATTAGCCACTACACAACTACATCTCCCAGACAAACATATTAGCCGCTACACAACCACATCTCCCAGACAAACATATTAGCCACTACACAACCACATCTCCCATACAAACATGCTAGCTACTACACAACCACATCTCCCAGACAAACATGCTAGCTACTACTGAACCACATCTCCCAGAAAAACATGCTAGCTACTACCTAACCACATCTCCCAGATAAACATATTAGCCACTACACTACCACATCTCCTAGACAAACATGCTAGCTACTACCTAACCACATCTCCCAGATAAACATATTAGCCACTACACTACCACATCTCTCAGACAAACATGTTAGCCACTACACAACCACATCTCTCAGACAAACATGTTAGCTACTACACAACCACATCTCCCATACAAACGTATTAGCTACTACACAACCACATTTCCCAGACAAACATGTTAGCCACTACACTACCACACCTCCCAGACAAACATGTTAGCCACTACACTACCACACCTCCCAGACAAACATATTAGCCCCTACACTGCCACACCTCCTAGATAAGCATGCATGTTTCTTAGGCAGTAATAGATTACTGTACCTTAGGTTTTAAAAGCATAAGTATAATTTAGGCACAGTACAACATGAACATCTGATTACATATTACATAAATATACTTTTTTTTTTTAATGGAAAAAGATGTCACAGTTCTTGAATTAATGCAAATTTTCACAATGAATGTAATTATGTGAAATCATTGAATCTTTTAAACTAATATTTCTTTGCTTGCATTTCATTTACAGTAGTTCCTAAAGATTTCACTAATTTATTTAGTGTAATGTTCAAGGACAAAAACGGCACAGCTTACAAATGTCGCAACCTTCAGTTAGCCAGACACAGTCGAACAACTTTAGACATATATTGTGAACCAGAAGTACCTGTAACTAATCTGACTCTGACCGGCCCGGGTGTTGGCTCTTTATGTACTCTGTCTGTTAGTGGAGGTATGTTTATAAGTGTCTCTGGTTCTGTTCATTTTTATTTTCATTTTTGTGTGTGATTAAGACTGCCAGTCATTAATTGAAGAGATCAGACAAATGGATGGCTGTATCCTGCTGGCCTGTCAGTCATTGACTCTACTTCTTCTTCCTCTGCGCCTTCACCGGCTGAAAACTCCAGCCGAAAGTTCTAATTGTTTTTCGACTTCTGGACTCTAATCCTGTTTAAGAAACTGAGTGTTGAATGCACATCCATTTAAAAGGTCTGACTCAATTGCGTGCAGACTGTTGGTTCCTTGCCCCTCTGGCAGATGTACTCCCACTTTGAAGGAAGCTCCAAATAGTTAACTCCTACAACATGCTTTTTGGGCAGGCAATGGGTCTGTTCTTGTTTTCCTCACAATGAGGCCTCGGAAATCACGCAGGGAGGAAAATAATTTGCGGGGGATTTTCATGGAGGAACAGAAGTCAGTACTTCCATCTGAAGAATTTACTTTGAGGGCTTTCAGAAATTAATTTTACTCCTGAATATATTTTATTGTGTTATCTGATCTGTTATTTGCTCTATATTTACTATATCACTTCTTCTATATTGTGAGAGATCCTGTCTGTTGTTTTCCTTCCCCATGTGTGAGTATCTTGTCTCTAAAGTTTGCTGTTAAGTGTCTTCCTTCACATTTTGTGAGGATCATGTCTGTTCAGTTGTTTTCCCTAGGAGTATCTTGTCTCTAAAGTTAGCTGTGTATCTTCCTTCACATTGTGTATCATATCTGCAGGTTATCTGTACAGGGTCTGACAATTAGGTTATGAGACTGGTTTTATTATGAGAGTGATTACTAATGCAACTAGACCTGGACGCCCAATCTCTATTCGTAATGAGAATCTCATAGCAGAAGTAAGAGAAAAGGTACAAAAGAATATGATTTTTTTGACTGTGAAGATAATGTTAGATGAATTTAGTGTTAATAGAGAGACCATTCGTAAAATTTAGGTGCAAGATTTGGGCAAGAAAAAGGTTACTTGATGGTTTGTATCTTCTTCGTGACAGTGCACCGGTTTACTGGGCAGTATTTGTACAAGAATTTTTGGCCCTAAAATGAGTGTGTGTTTTCAGCCATGCACCCTTTTTCCCAGATTTGTCTCCATGTGATTATTTTCTATTCCAAAATTAAAGTTACATAAAAAAGACACTTTTTTGACAATATTGGTAACATCCAAAGCGCCGTAACATCAACTTCAAGGGCCATAACAACAGAAGAACTACAGAGGTAATTCCAGTGTTTGTTAGAACGTGCCACTCGCTGTATCAATTCACAAAGGGCTTACTTTTAATAAAATACAGGTTTTATCTTCAATTATTTATGATTTTGATTTTTATGGAATTAGTCTCATTATTTAATTGTGGGACCTTGTATATATACTTATTTTCCTTCACATTATATGAGCATAATGTCTGTTAAGTTTCTAAATACTTGTCTTCCTTCGCATTATGTGAGTAGTATGTCTGCAAACCTAGTTCTGTATACTTAGCTTCCTTCACACTGTGTATCATATCTTTAAAAAGAAAAAAAGAAAAAAAATATATCTTTAGAGGAAGCTATGTATTCTTATCTCCTTTCACATTGTGTGAGTATCATGCCTGTAAAATTAGTCTGTTTTTTAATCTCTGTTCACGTTGTGTGAGTATCATGTCTGTAAAATTAGTTCTGTATTCTTATCTCCCTTTACATTTCTTTGACAAAAGAAAGAAGTATCATGTCTGAATAGTTAGCTCTGTATATGTATCTCTCTTCACACTGTAAGTATCATGTCTGTAAAGTTAGCTCTGTATACTTATCTCCCTTCAAATTGTGTATCATGTCTGTAATGTTAGCTCTGTATACTTATCTCCCTTCACATTGTGTGAGCATCATGTCTGTAATGTTAGCTCTGTACACTTATCTCCCTTCACATTGTGTGAGTATCATGTCTGTATTGTTAGCTCTGTATACTTATCTCTCTTCACATTGTGTGAGTATCATGTCTGTAATGTTAGCTCTGTATACTTATCTCTCTTCATAGTTTGTGAGAAGGCAATACATCACATCTCCACTGCACTACCTGCCGCTTGATCACTTACTGTAAACATTTTTATGTGATCTCTAATGTGTTATTTGTCGGATGTTGCTATGGTTGCCTCACATTTATCACTTCTTTCTTCCCAGTATCTTGGTTTTGTGATCCACTCAGTCTCACTGTGAATTGGTCCAGTTTTCTTTGAATTATCTGTGAAAGAAAGGCAGTGAGAAAGGGAAATTGTTTATCTTGTAGTATATAACAGGACTGTGTGTGAAGTACTATTCACACCTCAGTGGCAGAAGCAGTAGGTCTAACCATACTATCTTTTACATTGCCATCTTTATATTGAAGGTTGGCTGCAGTACACCTACTGTCTTCTCTATGGTGTGATTCTCATACGGTTGTCTAAAAGCAAAAGCACAGTCCATTTAATGGGAGGGAGAGAGAGGAAATTAAATCCTTGTGTGTCCAAAATTGTGACACACATCATTTAATCCTCAGAGCTGCTGCTCATTCTCCCTGAAGTGATATTTTTTTTAACTGGTTTTATTAGGTCGTAATGTCGCCCTTAGAGAAAAGACCTCTCAGACGAGCACCTCATCCGGGTCTTCTGGTATCAAGCTGGAATCATATCTAGCTGTGGACGGTATCCCCAACAGAATGCGTGATAGCACAGAATGCACCCTGACAGATAAGAGTGACCAACGGCCAAGGTGGAACCTGAAGTTCTCACATCCTATGACATTGAACAGATTTATCCTCCACAACACTTATAAAAAGTCTGGTAAGTTTTCTATCACTGTGTTTTTTTCTTTCTCAGTGTTAAAATATGTGACCATTTAGTTGAACCAGGGCTTTTTTTCTTGTTCTGGTAGTAGCAACGGTAGTCAGTAACATGCAGCCCTTTGCTTTCTAGGCATCATTTTTTTTTCCAGTGCTTTTGTAAAAGGCACTTTGTGTTTAATACCACCACTTTTTCAGACTCTTTGTGGTGAGTGCCGGCACTTTTTTTTTTTTTTATCATTTTTTTTCAGCACTGCTGCAATAGACACATTTTGGTTAGTACCACCACTTTTTATTTTGACACTTTGTGGCACCTTTTTAGTTTAAGGCGTACATTTTTTTCAGTGCAACGGTAATAAGTACTTTGTGGTTAGTAAATCACTTTTTATGTGTGTGTGTGGACACTGGTGAGTACTGGCACGATTTTTGGGCATAATTTTTTCAGCACTACTATAACAGACACTTCCACCACTTTTTTAAAGACAATTTGTAGTAAGTACTGGCACCTTTTATTTTTCTGTATATAAAAAATAAATAGGGGTGAATTATCTTTACTGCTTATAGTACAACGTTTTAGAGCAGTTTAAGTAGGAAGGAGTGGAGGTCTTGATCCTGAGGGTTTAAGGTTGTGAAGCTGATTCACACCACAAACTGTACAGCAGGGCTATTCAACTGCAAATATTCTTTCTCTGAATCTTATTCTTTGTGTTTGGTTTCATATTCTCAGTTCAGACCATTAGGTGGGTTGCTTGCATGAACTTGCATATTTATGAGTATTCAGGTGCCAGAGGTTGAAAGTGGGGATCATCACATGCCAGAAACCCAAGCCCCAGCATAGAAAGATCATTCATACAGTACACCTGGCTCAAGCCACTTGCTAGACCAGATTTGTCCAGCGGGCCGCCAGTAGTATACCCCTGTTGTACACGTTAGGATGTATTGTTGTTGTGTATACCTCTGACAGAAAAAAAATTACCATCACCTTATCTTGGTTTTGAACCCGGTCTTCAACATAAGAGGTGAGCGTTCAGGCCATTTGTCTAGCTGCTTCTCTGAACATTTGGTTAACACCGTCAAATTAACACAGCCCCAGTACTAAATGTGGTTCACTTCAGGCTGCTGGTGTCCATTTGTTTAAGGTGTTTGGGTCAGAATGAATAGAATAAACTGGCACATATCATTTCCCAGATGATTTGGTTTGAACTTTATTAAAGGCTTACTTGTTACTTGCCATTGAAGGCTACATTGAAAAGCTAATAGAGAAAGAGTTACAAAAAAAAAACATAGTAAAATCCGTTTTCTTTGGTACATATTACGTGTCCCATCATGCCGGACACACGATTTTGTGTCAGCTCCCATTCATGCTGTGGCCATTCCCCGAGTTGTCCCATTTTCTAGGGGTGTTAGCATATGCGTTTCTTCCCCTTCACCGTCTAACACACTGCGGAAAACCAGCTCTCTATCGTTTGAGGTGTACACAAAACTGTGCAGCTATCTTTTGTGGCAGACAAGATTTAGTGACTGTTTTTTTTTTTTTCTGTTTGTGTATGCGAGCCAGTGGCGAGCATGAAAGGAGCCGTCTGCGATGGTTGACACCTATAAGTCAGATGCGAGTCTTGAAGCCACATCTCCAACGGTCCTGATGCTCGGTCAACAGTGCCAGTAGATGATTCTTGGAACGTCTGGCTGAATGCAAGATGCCATATTGCTACAGAAAAGCAATGCTTATCGCTTACCAGTGCTGACAGTTAAAGACAATTTTTCTCGAAGTTCAAGTCACCGAGTAAGACCGCAGGGATAGCGATAAAGAGGAAAATAGAACGTGCTGGCCAGTCACAATGTGTAATATAGAATGCTAATAGCGTTGAAAATAACACAACATAACACTTTGGAACACAGGAGAGCCTGTGGGAACAACCACGGCACGATTGGGAGCCGACATGAAATCTCACGCCCGGTGAGATTCGGTGATGTTTTTGATATGTACCTCTTCTTTAAGTAGAGGGTTGGGTGTGTGAATGACAGACCAGCACCCTGTTTGTTTTATTTCAGCTATATTTAGGATTTGTCCATTGGTATTTAGACACAAAACACAGAATAGCACCAGCCAAACAGTTCAGCTTCATACAGTGAACAGTAAAAGTTCACAGTGGTGTATCCACCTTCAAACACTCCAACTTTACATGCTGAAAGTGAAGACAAACACAGAAGAGTATCTCCCTATAAACATTTCAGCTGTACACCTGGCAGGTGAACACAGACACAAAAGAGTACCTACCTCCAAACACTTTAGTTTCACACAGGGGAAGAAAATGCAGACAAAAGAGTACCTACCTCCAAACACTTTAGTTTCACACAGGGGAGGAAAACAGAAAAAACAGTACCTACCTCCAAACACTTGAACTTGACAGAAGGGAAGTGAACACAGACCACACACACAAAAAGTACCTTCCTCAACACTTCAGCTCACACAAGAGAAGAAAACACAGACAAAAGAGTACCTACCTCCAAACACTTCAGCTCACACAAGAGAAGAAAACACAGACAAAAGAGTACCTACCTCCAAACACTTCAGCTCACACAAGAGAAGAAAACACAGACAAAAGAGTACCTACCTCCAAATACTTCAGCTTTCACACAAGGAAAAGTAACACCGACACAAATGACTACCTACATCCAGAGACTTCAACTTTGCACAAGAAAGAAAACACAGACATGAAAGACTACCTACCTCCAGACACTTCAGCGTTACACAAACTCTGTAGAGTAACCACCTCCAAACTCTTTATCTTCACACATTAAATTTTAAGACAATCGGGATAAAATCATATGATGGTGTAAACCATGTGCCTTGTCATGGTGTGCCATCTCAAATAATCACCGGAATCATGGCTCAGGTCTGTGTTCTTTTCCTGTCCTTGCCACATGACCAAGCCATCTAAGTATTTCTCTCTGTGCCTTGAGGCTGTGTCAAGCAGAAGCATACTAAAAGTGAAGTCCTGGAGACAATCTTGCTTTTGGGATGTAAAGTGTTTCTTGGGTCTTCACATATTCTAGGCCTAGACAGGAGATGGGTTGGCTGGTTTTATATTTCACTGTCGTTCCTTCCCAAACAATTTCCCTGGTAATTGTCTAGTGCTCATTTTTATCTTAACTAATTTTGGTGTACTGAAAACGAAAATAACCTTCACAAGTGTTGATTTGCTCTGGTTTTCAAAATTTATGCTACTAAGTTATTTAATTACACGTAATTTATATGTGTCACAACTTTTGTGGCTGATTGCATAATTTGTAACTTCTTCTTCTTCTTCTTCTTCTTCATCTTCTTTTTCTTCTTCTTCTTCTAATTGCATAATTTTTAACTTCTTCTTCTTCTCTTCCACCTTGTACCTCATCGAAGTGTCGGGAGGAGATGTAACATTCGTTGATGAGCTGTGTCAAGAGCACTATTAAGACTGATGTTCATTTCTATGAGGCTGTTCTTAATGCCATCACTCCATATTTTCCTAGGTCTTCCACTCACTCTATACCCGTTGTAATGTTTTAGTGTGGCTTGCTGTGGTGGATAGCACCAGGGCATTCTTGTTAGGTGTCCAAACCACTTCATTTGTTGTTCTTTGATGACCTGTAAGACTGGCTATATTCCTAGCATTCGTCTGATTTCATGATTTCAAATTCTGCCTTTCCTTGAAACTCTTGCAGCTCTTCTAAGGCATTTTATCTCTGTTGTCACAATTTTACGCTCATTGGAGGATGTAAGTGTCCACGTTTGGCATTAATAGCATAGTGTTGGCCAAAAACATGGTTCTGATAAGATTCACTTTAGTACTCCGAGGTATCTGCTTGTGTGTCAACAGGGGAGATAGTTGCCCCATTTCTTGATTAGCTTTGGCACATCTGGAGCTAATTTCTCTGTCCAGTTTTTCGTCACTTGTGAAAATTGCTCCCAAATTCTAAATTCCTGTGTTTTTCTTGAGGCGTTGCTTTTTAATTGTATTTCTTATTTGTCTTTCTGTCTTCCTTTCACCTTTGTCTCTGTCTTCGTAGTGTTTATTTTCATATTATTTTCCTCCCCCGGCGTCCGTGGCTTAGGGGTTTCGAGTCTGACTCGTAATTCCAATGTACTGCGATCGAAACCGACTGCTGGCTGCGTGGATTTTTATCATTGTATGGGGCATCGCAGGTCGACCCAGCCTTAAATGGGTACCAGGATGGCTGCCATGGGGAAGTAAAGACGGCCGGCGTAATACTGACCGTGTAAAAATATGTGGTGCTCTTTCCATATCCCTGATGCCCCAGAAAAGGCATCTTTACTTATCTTTATATATTCCTTCCCTTTGTTACTAATTTGATTTAGGTGGTTCTGTAGGCATTCCGTACTTTTTGCTATGAGTACCTGGTCGTCGGCAAATAGTAATTCTGTAATATCTTCTTCATGATTAAAGTTTGTTTTCTCACATATGGTATCCATGTATGTTATAAAAAGAAGCGGCGATAGTACACAGCCCTGATGCACACCAGAGTTCACTATAAAAGTTCTTGACAATCCTGTCTTCGATCTTATGCAGCATTTACTACGTGTGTACAGGCTTTTGCCAATATTAATGAGATTATTGCTGATTCTATTTTTCCCCATTCATTCCCTGTTTCGTCAAAAACCCATCTGTGATTCTAAAAGTTAATACTCTATCAACGGTCTTAGCCTTTTTTTTTTTTTTTTGGATGATCTTAGCATACATTTTCCTAGTGTGTCTGAGAAACGATATTCCTCTGTAATTAGTACAGTCCCTCTTACTTCCTTTATTTTTCCATTTCGGGACGATGACAGCAGTTTGCCAATCTGATGATGTTTCTTGATTTTCCCATGCCACCTGAAATATTCTCTCTAACCATATTGCTCCCGTTTCTCCTGCTGCCTTGATGGCCTCAGCTCGTAGATCATCAATACCTGTCACCTTTAGTCTAGGGGTGGTACAAAGGACATATTCTACTTCAGCTAATAATATACCTGGTTCTAGTTCCTCTGCCGTTAGTTCAGAGTTGTTTTTATGTTCTTCCCTGCTTTCATCTGTTTTATTGCAGCTAAGTAATGATTCAAAGTAATTACCTTGCTAAAATTTTTTTAGGTTGTATTAAAGGTTGGCCATCTTCATCATTTATAATTTCTGTTGGGTTGTATTCTTCATTCCTGTTTCTCATGCCTTTGATTATTTTTTTTAAGTAGTTTTTCACTCCTGTTCTTTCTTTTACAGCCAGCTTGCCTCCACACTTTCCCATGAATCTCTTTTTGCTTGTCTGATAGTTTTATTTACTTCTAATTATCCCGTATGTTATCTAATTATTTTCTGTTCTGTTTCTCAGTCAACTGCCATAAGCTTTCTTTTTATTGCTCACAATTCTTCTTACTTCTTCAAACCACGTTGAGAGCTTACACCCTATGTTACCTTTCCTTTTAGTTCTATATATTTCTTGTGTTATTTTCATAGTGGTGTCTCTGAAATAATTTTTTACAACAACCATTAAAACTGTAACGATAAGTTGATTATGCATTACAACATTGCAGATATTGATAATCTATTTCAAGTGAACAAAAGAAGAAGAAGATTATGCATTCCTACCTTTGATTACATCACCTTTTTTTCCATAAATATCTTATTTTTAGTAAAAATTTTGCATTAGTTAGTGCATTTAAAAAAAATCAAAAGTTAGGATCACCTAGAAAATGTGTGTAGAGAGCTCAAAGTGTGACTGAATAATGCTGACGTCGGTTCAAATGATCGTTTTTAAAACATTATACGTGAACTTTAAATATTGTTTTTATTTTTTTATATGATTTTGTGTTAACATATAAATTAATTGAGTATGCAACCATAATTTCTATAATGCTAAAGTAGAAAAACTAACTAATGCCACCAGAAAATTAAACAGACATACATAATATAAATTCATCATAACAAACAAACAAAAAAGTGGAATTTCATTATATTTGAAGTCAGCATGTAAAAGTGAACTAGAAATGATGTATTTAAATTCTGAAACAACAAACTTTTGAAAATTAATTGACTTGTGTTACTGGGCATCTGGCTTCGCTTAAAAGTTAACTCTGGTATTATTCCCTTGAACTGACAGAAGAAGAAGCTGCGCTGGTACGAAATCATTTTTTCTGCTTCCTTTGATGTCACCAGGGTCCCTGATAAAGTATAAATTGAATTCTCGAATCTGTTTAAAGATTCCTTGGGATGCAACTTATTTGAAGAAAAACTGCTGATTCAATTCATGCCTACTTTTTTTAGGGGGGATAATGTTTTCAAATCTAACCATAATTGCATTTCGAGTTTACTCCCTTTTGTTTCTACATCTCTCGGGAAAAACAAATTGTCAGCTCTTCAGTTTAAAACCAAAACTGGAAACAGTACATGAGACTGGCATTAATGAAAGCTCAACCACAAATTTGTCAACTTGTTATTTCAGTTACAATTTTAGTCACATAATTTAACATTATTTTGATTTATAACAGTAAACCAGATTGTGACCCGTACCATCGGTATTGGAGCTCTGCGCTGGCTGCTGAGAATGAGGACGGAGCACACATGGAAATGCCCTGAGTGCTGTGATGTCAATTCTTGACTCAACTCAACTCAACAGTATATTTTCAATGTGTTGTTTTTTACCCCATTAAAAAGTATATTTTTTAATGTGAAGGATTGCAGATGACTGATATTATTTCTATTAAGTGGGGTCGCAACTCAAAGAAAAAAAAGGTTTGAAACTTAAAGGGTTGGTTTTTATATATTGCTTGCTGGCTCAAAGAATTTGTTCAGTTTTTACCTTGTATTCTTCATTGCCTCAAAGCCTTTCTTCATTCTCATCTTGCATTGCAGCTTATCTCACAGGATTCATTCTGACTGCCTTTAATATTGATGGTGAAGGTGTGTTTTCATACCAGGACTCTGTGAAGAAAGTTAGGTTAGTGTACACATTGGTACCACCACAAGAACTATCAGCTGTCTCAGGCCTGTCCATAGAGGCCACCATGACTAGGAGGGTTGTCAGGACGAAATACCTTGCATTGTGTGAAGTTGAAGTGTTTGGAGGTAGGTACTCTGCTGTGTTTGTGTCAAGTTTCAGTGTTTGGATGTAAGTAATTTGCTGTGTTTGTGTCAAGTTGAAGTGTTTGGAGGTGTGTACTCTGCTGTGTTTGTGTCTTTAAGTGTTTGGAGGTAGGTACTCTGCTGTGTTTGTGTCAAGCTGAAATGTTTGGAGGTGTGTACTCTGCTGTGTTTGTGTCAAGTTGAAGTGTTAGGAAGTAGGTACTCTACTGTGTTTGTGTCAAGTTTAAGTGTTTGGATGTAGGTACTCTGTTGTGTTTGTGTCAAGTTAAATGTTTGGATATAGGTACTCTGCTGTGATGTGTCAAGCTGAAGTGTTTTGAGGTAGGTACTCTGCTGTGTTTGTGTCAAGTTTAAGTGTTTGGGCGTAGGTAATTTGCTGTGTTTGTGTCAGGTTGAAGTGTTTGGACGTAGGTACTCTGTTGTATTTGTGTCAAGTTTAAGTTTTTGGATATAGGTACTCTGCTGTGTTTGTGTCAGGTTTAAGTGTTTGGACATAGGTACTCTGCTGTGTTTGTGTCAAGCTGAAGTGTTTGGACGTAGGTACTTTGTTTTGTTTGTGTCAGGTTGAAGTGTTTAGAGGTAGGTACTCTGCCGTGTTTGTGTCAAGCTGAAGTGTTAGGAGGTGTGTACTCTGCTGTGTTTGTGTCAAGTTGAAGTTTTTGGATGTAGGTACTCTGCTGTGTTTGTGTCAAGCTGAAGTGTTTGGACATAGGTACTCTGCTGTGTTTGTGTCAAGATGAAGTGTTTGGATATAGGTACTCTGCTGTGTTTGTATCAAGTGAAGTGTTTAGAGGTAGGTACTCTGCTGTGTTTGTGTGAGGTTGAAGTGTGGCAGTGGCTACTGCCTTGTTGGAGTGTTTGGAGCTGGCTTCTCTACTGTGTTTGTACATTTTCGTTGTGTAAGTTAAAGTGTTTGGAGCTGGCTACACTACTGTATTTGTACATTCTCTTTGAATGAAATTGAAGTGTTTGGAGCTGGCCACTTTACTGTCTTTTACATTCTTGTGAATGAAGTTTAAGTGTTTGGAGCTGGCTGCTCTACTGTATTTGTACATTCTCATTGAATGAAATGGAAGTGTTTCGAGCTATCTTTTATACTATGTTTGTATTTGTTTTCATTGTGTGAAGTTGAAGTGTTCCAGATGCAAGAGAAATGTTCCATTGTGACATATATAATAAACCTAAACACTTGACATGTCCGACAGATTCTGTATGCCCGCTTGGCTTATATGGAAGGGATTGTGAAAACCACTGCTTTTGTTCTCATGTAGAACAATCATGTTTTGTCAGCACTGGAGCGTGTCCATTAAAAGCTCACTGGTATATCTGTGTGTGTGTTGTTGCCAATTATATCTGTGCTTTGTAATTGGTATATTAGGAGAACGTAGCACACCAAACTATCAGTCCATGCGAGTAGAATTGGTCAGTTTTCCTTTATCACATTCATAACAATGTTCAACAAATGAACAGTGCAGCCAGAAAGCCTTCATCAGCATCCAGAACATCTGTTGCAAAATTCTAACTTAAACAGTAAAAAACATTTATGTCCATGTGTAGGAAACAGTAGGGTATGGAGGAATAAACACAAAGCAAAAAAAAAAGTAAAAATTATAGCAACAGTAGAGAATTCAAAGTCGGCTCTGTGGCTAAGTCGATGCGAACGCTTCGTAATGCCGGGATGCCGGGTTCGATCCCAGCTGCGGGCCATGTGCCTGGCGTTGGTTTCGATAGTGGTGTCAAGAAAGCCGACCGTCCAGAAAGCAATGGCAAACTACTGGACGTAAATTTGCCTAGAAAAACCACACAACAGCCAGGGGCTGTTGTGGTTGGTTCTGCAATGTCCTGTAAAGGATACGCAACTAGCCAGAGAATTCAAAACAAAAAAAAAGTATGTGTGTATATATATATATATATATATATATATATATATATATATATATATTTTTTTTTTTTTTTTTTTATTTATTTATATATATATTGTCATAAAGTACAGGATAGAACTTATCGGAATCTGTTGCTCAAAATATAAAACTAATCCAGGGAAATGTCCTGGAAAAAAAAAAGAAATAATTTTCAGAATTTTCTTACCCTGAAGCAAGGAGTTAGATGATCAGCTTTAGTCTCTTCTTCAATAATCGAGATAAGTCGTGGGTGACCTTGCTTTTATATGTACTGCCCCCAAGAAACTTGATCACTAATAATGTGGTTTTATTCTATCATAACGACACATGGTAACAAAACGATATTAATTTCTCAAACGTTTGGAATTCTTCATGAAAACATTTATTTGATGTTTTTTTTTAAAGTAATTGTCACAAATCATGTAAATCAGAAATTTAGTTATAGTAACAATATTAAGTTTCAGCTTTTTAGATTTCAAAAATTCTACTTCTTTAAATGTTTCTCTATACAGTTTTTTCTAACCATCTTAAAGTTTTTTTTTATAGATCTCTGAACTGATTGCTGCTTGGAACTTCTTCTAAATGGATCTCAGTGTCACCTGTTTTTCTTCTCGATATCTTCGATGTTCATTCTTGTACGATGGTAACCGGAATATAGATATTTTAGGATTGGGATTCCACTTCTTCTATTGTCTCAAAAAAGGCAGCTTTTTTCTCTTAAAAAAACAAAACAAACTGGTGTGTATCTGTTCAACAGATTAATTTGACAGATTTTGGGTAGGAGCTGTAGGTTTCAGATAAAGTATTTAGACAAATAAATAGTACACATGTTTAATATCAAATTTCTTTTTAATCAATAAGATATATTAACAAATGTATATATATTAAATATAATATTTGTTCTACGTAAACATATTCATTAGTGTACATTCTGAAAATAATTACATAACTTTTGATTCCCATATTACTGTTACTCTTTTCCATCCATCATATATATACATCCCCGATCAGATTACACACATATTAAATACAAGCTGCTCAATATACTGAAACAGTTCAACAGCATATAAGTCCCAACTCTCTTTCCTATGTTACTTTTACATATCAAACATGCAATCAATTATTCAGTGTCGTAATTTTTGCTTCTCATCTTAAGATTAAGAAAACATTAAACGTTTCTTATTTTCACCAACCAAAGTTTAAGTTATTATTTAAGATTATTATTACAACACACTTATCATAAGATACTTATTTCATTAAAATATTCTCCCTGTGTGGATGGATGGATGGATTTTTTTACCCCACCAGGACATCACACAAGCGATAAACACCCGATGACACAAAGTGCCACCATGCGGATGAGGATCACCGTGGAGAGGTCCCAGAAACCGCGTTCAGACATTTGGCCATAATGATGACCTGCCTATATTGCGGCCCCTGGCAAAAGCCAGAGTGGGGCTTCAAATAACAAAAAATTACGTCCTAAAAAGGACGTAATGATTTGATTAATAAATGTATCACTACTCTCTCTCTCCCTGTGTGGGTTCGGGGGGCCCTTTTATAGGGTAAACAAGAATAGGCCCACTGCCTACTCAAAAGCAGGTCGTAAGAGTCGACTAATTGGGAGCTTTCTTCAAAGTCGGAGTGCATCTGCCTGAGAGGCAAGGAACCAACAGTCTGCACACAAATTAGTCAGATCTGTCAAATGGATGCACACGTAACACTCAGGTTCTGGAACAGAACTTTCCACCAGAGTTAACAGCTGGTGAACGCAAAGAAGAAGAAGAAGATTAAAATATTCTTATCGATTGAACAAAACAGAAAACTATAGGTAGCTATTAGTTGTGCTTTTACACCAAAGGCAAAAATCAAATAAGTTCTGATACACAAAGAAAATAATTCAAGCTTCAGATGTTCTCACCAACATCAAATGAACTCAAATCAAAATGAATTGAATTACATCCTAATATATATATATATATATATATATATATATATATATATATATATATATCTATATATATATATATATATATATATATATATATATATATATATATATATATATATATATATATATATATATATATATATATATATATATATATATATATATATATATATATATATATATATATATATATATTAGGATGTAATTCAATTCATATATATATATATACACATACATATATATATACACACATACATATATGTATATATACATATATACATATATATAAAACACATACATACACATATATATATAAAACATACATACACACACACATATATATATATATATATATATACATACATACATACATACATACATACATACATACATACATACATACATACATACATACATACATACATACATACATACATACATACATACATACATACATACATACATACATACATACATACATACATACATACATACATACATACATACATACATACATACATACATACATATATATATATATATATATATATATATATATATATATATATATATCATCATATATATATATGCACATACATATATATGTGTGTGTGTGTATATACATATATGTGTATGTCATCCTCTCTAACCGCTAATACTTACATGACTTTAATATTTATTAATAGCAATTATTTATGAAAAATCCAAGATATATTTTTATTATCAACATCTACTGGAACTGTTAACTATCTCTTTGTTCACTCTGACCTTATTTATAAATTTTTCCAATTTTTTTTTCTAGAGTTGATATCAGAACCAAAGAATTTTCTCTCGCTATTTACAGAGTACTGTTCTTATATCTTCTTTAATAACTTTTTACAGGCCCAGTTAATTTATTTTCTAATTATTCTTACTTTTCATTTTCAAACTCTCTGGTGTTGTCCTTTCCCCACGACGTTATCCATACAAGAGGAGCAAATGCCTCATCATCTGTTACTATCATTTGCAGCTCATTCTTATTCTTACCATCTTTTTTACTTCACACTCTACTTCCTATCTACATGTGTATATCTTTGTCTGCTTTTATTTTGCCAACCTTTTGGGTTACATTGTAATTACGTTTCAGTTATTCTCAGGTTTTCTCAACATATGTCCATTTTTGCGATTGAGTCTTCTTCACCTCTTGATTCACTGGAATTTGTTGAGTTCTTTCCCCAAGTTCCTCAGTAGTGATTCTGTCATACCATTTATTTTCCTCTTTCTGTGCATTCACAAGGTAATGAATGTTTTGTAGTTTATTAAATAACGTTTATTCCTCCATGTTTCAGCTCCATACAGCAGTGCTGGTTTGGCTCTCCTCCGAACTTCTACCCCAGCATTATGGCGGCCAAACAAATATCCTAACAGGGCCTCAGTCCTATTAAAAATATGCGAACTTCCGGCGACGAACACATCGCTAGGAACACAAAACTAGGATTACCTGACAATTTCAAGAGATGCAACACTGCAGACGATAGTAGCAGACGATAATAGCGACCGTTGACACTTTGAGCGTTTCTGAGTACGATACTAGCAGACGATACTAGCGACCATTGACAATTTCGAGATGGGCAACATTACAGACAATAAAAGCCACATGGTGGGGAGACTACGGGCTCCGACGCAGATTAGCGCGCGGCACGGATGGGGAGCTAAACTAGATGCCTGGGACTCACGAGAAAATAAATTGGAGGAAGTTGCAGGAGATAAGGTAGCTGCTGCTTGTGAATTCCAGCCATCTAGTTGAGCCCCCTCTCAGGGGGCTACGCGCAGTGCGGGGGATACGGTCGGCGGTGAGGCATAGTCACAGAAACAGGTCTGTAATTAACATATCGCTGAGACCCTGTTAGAGCATTTGTTTCGTTATACGGAGCCGATCCTAGTTTTGCCGCTCGGCCGAAAGTCCGAGAAGTCCGCATTTTTCATAGGACTGAGGCCCTGTTAGGATATTTGTTTGGCCGCTATAATGCCGAGGTAGAAGTTCAGAGGAGAGTCGCTGGTTTGACATTAGAGTTACCTATTTTAAGTTTAGTGCTGATTTTTAATGTCCATTTACTTCAGAATATTTCCTTGTCATATGGAAACACTACTTGCCTTTGATATTTGTATTTTAAAAAACTCTTGTCAGTTCTCCATCAATCTTTAACTACATTACTGTCTAAATAGGTGTATGTTAATTTACTGTAGACTTGAAGTTCTTCTGTCATTCCTCACCCAGTGGAGCATGGACCTTCAGCCAACTCAGACCCCTTGATTTTTCTTTTTGATTTTTTTTCGGGTGAAGTTAGTTGCATGTCCTTTAGAGGATGTTGCAGAACCAAACCCAGCATTTTCTGGCTGTTCTGGTTTTTCTGGAAAATTTAGTTTCAGTAGTTTGCCATTGCCCCCTGAATAGGTCTGCTCTCAATACCACTGTTAATATTAATGCCAGACGGCTTGTTGCCAAATCGCCTGCAGCTGGGATCAAACCTGGCATTATAAAGCATATTCGCTTATGCCTAAGCCAAAGATATTGACTTATTTTGATAGGTTGGATTTGAAGGTCAATTTCACACCAATATCATCTGTCGTGATAATGCATGGTAGACAATTTGCTTCCCTTATGCACTCAGTAGCACTCAGATAAGACTTGAACTGACATATATTTACTTGTGTGTTACAGGTAAAGTAGCAGAATCTAGGAAAGGGTGGATCAGATAAGTCTTCTGGTGAAATTCCTTTGTTGACCAACATCTGTCTAGTTGCTGGCATGTTCGAGATAGTGTTCATAATGAAGCACACAGTTTGGGTTGTAATCGCCAGAAATGTGCTCAATAACTTTCAAACACTGGACATTAAACTGTTTGTGTTCTTTCTACAAGCTGATGTTTCTGTTGTGTTGGTTGTTTGTTTCTTTACTTGGCATTTTGGGTAATGGAAATGTTTACATAAATTTAAGACAAGAACAGATAGTGTTTATTGTCTCTGCAATTTAAGACAAGAATGAGCAATCCTCCGAATAACAGTCCCAAATTATCAAGGCCGAAAATATACCCTAACAGGACCTCAGTCATATGTAAATTGAGGACTTCCGGTGACTACGACCACCGCTGAGAGTATCTCCCACACCCCCTACGTGTGGCGTGGGAGATACTCTTGGCAGTCACAGTAAGCAATTTACATATGACTGAGGCCCTATTAGGGTATATTTTCGACCTCAATAATTTGGAACTGTTATTCGGAAGATAGCCTAAGAATGTATAGTGTTTATTGTCTCCAAGATTTAAGACAAGAACATTTAGTGTTTATTGTCTCCGAGATTTAAGACAAGAACATTTAGTGTTTATTGTCTCCGAGATTTAGGACAAGAATATGAAGTGTTTATCGTCTTCAAGATTTAAGACAAGAACATGCAGTGTTTTTGTCTCCGAGATTTAAGACAAACATTCAGTGAGAATGGTTCGATGTGCAATGATGATAATCTGTCGACTAACTAGGGGCTGGTATGAGACTTACTATCTCAGTCTAAAGAAAACCTTAGCTAAAACAGCTAGCCAATCATTAAAAAGCCTACGCATGACAGAGGAAACCTCACAGCAAGCTTCGCCAAAGAGAAATGGTTGAAGTTCTAAACCTGTATGGTAGAATGGAGGTAGTGTATGGCAGCCACCTATAGCTAGAAAGGTGAGGCGAAGCAAGCCTTAGATCATATCAAAGAGAAATGGTTGAAGTTCTAAACCTGTATGGTAGAATGGAGGTAGTGTATGGCAGCCACCTATAGCTAGAAAGGTGAGGCGAAGCAAGCCTTAGATCATATCAAAGAGCTGTCTTTCTGTGGGCAGGTTCTGAGACACAGCTTCTGTAACTTTTAAAATGGTACAGCAAAGAAACATGGTGGTTGGGTGTTTTTCATAATGTAGTGAACCCATCATGGCTGTGGCTTAAGGGCAGAAAAAGAGAAGCTGGCTTAATCTTGGCCAGTGTGTGTCAGAGCGGTGAGGTATCCAGTACACAAGGTTTGCCTTTTTATAGAGCTGAATAGTTTGTTTTTTTTTTTTGGGGGGGGGGGGGGAGGGGGGGGGGGGGGGGGGGTAAATGATGCAGTCAAGAGTGACCCCATGTTTCAAGTCGGCAAAAGGATTCAGATGCACAAGATTAAGACACACAGGAGCCACATCCTATTTTCCCCACTCCCAGAGAATATTAAGGAGATAATATTATGTTTTATTAAAACGTTCTCAGTATTGTGATGTTCTTTGATGAACTGAAGTCTCCTACTGGGCTTCTCCCCAGCATAGCTGAAAAACCAGCAGTACCGCAGTAAATGAGTTACAAGGAAGAACAAGCACGATTCTGCAGTGAAAGAATTACTTCAAACTAACAAGATAGAACCACCCAAAAAAAAAAGGAGAAGAGGATGTCCAAAAGAAACTCTAAATTGAACATTGATGAGTGAGGGCCAAATTCCTGGATTGGATTCCATCCATGGAATTGAAACAATTATTACACATCATAGAATGACATTAAATTTTAGCCCTATATAATATATAATTACACGGTAGAAAAATGATGATAATAACCCATTTATAATCCGGATGGTTTGAACACAATGTTGTTGTTTAAATTAATACTGCTGTTTTTTCATTATGGTATAAGATATTTTCTGACCTGTTTCTGCTTCTGAACTTTCTCTTTTACTGCTTCAGATGTTGAAGGAGATATAAGGTTCTGCTTCTTGCTCTTCTGGACCATACACATCATACTGTTGTAGAGTTTCTCTGATGCTATCATTCCATCTTGTTCTTCATTGCCTTGTAGTCTACACTCTTCTCTTCTTTTAGTATGGTATGGCGTTACTTGGCATTCTATCTAAGTGGGTAATTCATTTGATTTGTTGTCTTTGTATGTAACCTAGAACTTGTTCAGTGCCGACTGTTTCTCTTATGATCTCACTCCTGATTTTAATCTCTTCTGGTCACTCCTGCAGCCCTTCTCAGAAATCTCTTTTCCATAGCTTCTATTCTGCTTTGTTGTAAGTGACCATGTCTGGTTTTGGTAGGATAGCGTGCGGATGAATATGCTCTGTGTGAGATGTTTCCTTGTGCTGATATGGATTGTCTTATGCAGCAAGCAGGTAAGCTAGCTGTTCCAATACGTGGTTTTCTTTACGGCATCAGGTATTAATTCCTTTATCTAATTTACTGTCTTCAGTAAAATTTGTTCCCAAATATTTATACTCAAATGCTTGTGCAATATCTAGTGCTATATTAGTGTGTTGGCCACTTTTTTCCTATTAACATTACTTCTGTCTGTTCAGCGTTGATTCTCGTTTTAAACTTTCATAGCTGTATATCTGCTATCAAGGCTGGTCATCCACAAAGAGTCCTGTCTGTTTACAAGAAGTTATATCTGATATAAAATGTTTTTGTAAAAAATGATTTTTTTTTTCTAGGACAGTGTGCATGGTAAGTGTATGCAAACTGATTGATAAGTGCAGCCGCTTCTCTGGGCAGCGATTTGCGAAGCCTCTCTTTGATGTCTGAGAGCTTACAGCCGGTGAATAAAGAAGAAGATTGCCTTTTATCTTGATGCAATAACCCCCCCCCCCCCACCCCACCCCAATACAACCTATTGTATATTTCCAGAAAGCTAAGACAGAAAGATAAATACATTACATAATTGCGACAAGAACACAGACCTCATCTGAGAAACTAGTGAACCCTTGAAAGAGTAACTATGTTTACCTACACGTGTCAGCACATAAATGTTAAATGAATAATCAACATCACTGCACTCCCATAAGTGCTCTGTCCCCATCTTCAACAGCAAGCACAGAGTTCCGATAGCACCATTAACCGTCTGATTGTATAACTGTCTCATCTTTCCCCTGAATGTTGAGCGTGTGCCAGATCCTCTGGTAACTCGCAACGCCATTCTCCTCAGACGGTAATGATCTATCTGTGCCTCCACACTGTTCAGTCGTTCCCAAGGGCCCTCGCAATATCTAGCTTGTCATATCAAGTCACCACCAAGTGGTGCAGAGCCAGCCAGACTATCTGCCTGCTCATTTCCCAGCACACATTCATGACCTGGAGAAGATATCCAAAGAATGCTAGCAACCCAGGACATCTGTAGTGATGCTTGCCACTCACCTTTCTTGACATGCTCTTTGAGGCAGCACATTATGACGATGTAGTTAAATGTGTGGTTGAACCAGAATGATGTGAGAAATGGTATTATCAGGGAGATATTTACCAACATCTTGCATCTAACTAATTGAGAACCAGAAGATCAGATGGTATTGTTGTCTCGTTAGTGTGCATCTAGTAACACATGTGCTACGCAAACACTGCAAAAACTAACACAGGTAAACAAGTAAAAGTAAAGGACCCTTTTCCATATAGAGCTAGACCTATATTTGTTTAGACCAATTGGCACAAGATGGGTGATGTGGTCAGCATCACACCGACTTCCTTTACTTCCCGGGACTGCACCTGGTACCCACTCAAGACTGGGTTGACCAAAGTCATTTTTGAAAATAGTCCGGCTCACTAACGCAGATGCTACACCTGACTGGAGCGCGAAAAAGGGGGGGGGGGGTATCCAAGAAGGAAATCCATTGACGACATTTACATCATCATAAATCCAAGCGGAAAGGCAATGATGGCCAGTGTGTTCATCGAGTGCTGGACCTCAAACTGTTCCTCCCCACGCTGCTCAGCGAAAGAAATGGATTTTGATGATGATGACATCACAGTAGGCGATGGGAAGCTACTAGCCCTTACAGTCTACACATTTTCAGATGGGAAATTTGACCCGGTGTTCACAGAAAGTGGATAAGGCTTTATGAGATCCACGATACTTTCTGATAATGGTGGCATATGTCTTCTTCCTGTGCAAAGACGAAAATCAAAAGCTGTGGGTTTGAGGTTTTGAACAACAAATCAACTTCATGACACTCATAAGTGCTCCGTTCTTCTTCTAACTCAAGTCAAAAGAAGTTCAGCACTTTGCACAGGCTCTGAAGCATCGGTGAGGATCTTGAAATACTTTGGGTAGATTTTTAACTCAAAATTTTGCCCGGGCCGACGCTAGGCTACTCTTTTCGATTTCCATCTGCTAAGGGATTTTTTACGTGCGCAACAATGCACACAGGCGTCCGATCTCACTACCCAGAGACCAAGGGAAATAGCTAGAAGTCCAAGTCAATGAGAAAAAATCCCAGCCCTTACCGGGGATTGTACCTGGAACCTCTAACACTCGAGGCGGACACCATGCATAGAGACCACGCAGCCCCCAAGCTGTGGGTGTTTTGCTTGTAATAGAGAGAGCCTTGGTGGGGCGGGAGAGATGTAGAATAAACTGGGGATGAAGCCGGCATCGTAAACGATCTGAGAACGTTGCTAAACTCAGTAAGGACACTAGGTTCGACATAATACGAATTCACGATCATTTGTAATTAGGTCAAAAGAAGGTGATTATAACGTGAGGTGCGCTAACATTCCTCGTCATATTCCCTTCCTTTTGATAATCCTATGGATCCAAAAAGTTATTGCTGTACATTTAAAATTTTAAATCGTCACTTGTGTTAACATTTTCTACCCCCCCCCCCCCCCATTTGTTGTTGTTGTTGTTCTTTTTCTTTTTCATTCTCTATCTTCTTTTACCCTGTATCATCTATTGAAAT